GTTACTTTTCTTATAACAAAGGATTTTATTTTGTTTATTTCTATCATGAATCTCTTTAAAACCTCTACATAAGACCTAGCAGCTATTTTTCAGTCTTGCGAGAACAGTGCCAATAATAGGTAATTATCACTGCCAATAAAAGGTTTGGCTATGCCAACAACTGGTATTTTGAGGTATTTTTTTAAAAGGTACACTATATTGAATAAATGATTTAATTTATTAATGATAAGTACTTTATAATATTCTGCAAAGATTAAAAGACCAATATAAATGTTTTTTTCTTTGATAAAACATATTTTTACATGCAAATTTTACCGGTTTTGTGAAGTAGCTGCTTAAAGTGCCAATAATTGGGTGGTTTACCCTACTTGTTCGTCAGAGAATAGTTTTTCAGATAGTGTTGTTAGTTATCACAACATTATTCCTCTCTGACGGATGAATGTAACTTATTTCTTGTGATTCAATTTGGCAGTAAGAAGTATTTAATATGCGCAATGAATTTATTTACCTGTTAAGTTCATTGCCTCCTCAAACGGCACTTTCTCCAACTTCGACATTTTGATTAAAGTTTATCCATTCTCATTTATTTGCGAGTTTCGGAACATTCTAACTTCCACCTTTAGATCCGACTGATAATTTCAGTTCTTACCGACATCTTAAAAACAGGTGTTATCAATAGCAAATAGAAATAGCAAGAAAATTAATTAGCAGCGTGACAAACACCCGTATTCACAACCATTACTGATCTCACAGTGCCCGTGGACGCACAGGGTCCCAAAAACCTATTCATAAACAATACTTGAGTGGCGGAGTGACACACACGAACCGATCACAGAGCTCTATTGAACGCTGTGCGTTCGACTTTGCATAGCATTGCTGCTTCACTTAAGCAAGCATCGTTTGTGAATACGGGTGTTAAAGGCTACTAACATACCGACCTCGTGTTTTACATGCTTTAGATACGGCTGAAAAGAAGAGTAGGTAGAATCGCGAAAATGAAGCCTCATAGGTACCAGGGGCATACGGTGTATATTACACGACGAGTCTAACTCCCAATCAGATATACACCTAATGCTTACGAGATTCGTGTCATATTTGTATGATGCCACTTTTTCAGTTTGGTTCTATGCTGTGCGCGTAGCCTTAAGCGATATAAAGCCACTAGATTTCATGGTAGAGAACAGACAATGTTAATATTCGAATGAAGTAGCAACTAATGTTTTAGGGACATAGAAAAACTATCACAATATTGAATCAAAATCGAATGTCCTTTGGCCTCTCTATAGATACTGGTGACAAATCGTAAATAATAGTATTAGGGCATTTCTACTGTACGGTGTATTTTTTCTCAATTCGGTGCTAAAATTTATATTTAGTTTTTTAAGTAGTTTCAATACAAAAAAAATAATGTTACTCCATTCTGAATGTAAAAATAGCATTGTCACTAAATATTTTGAAGTGGTTTATGAGAAATGTTAAGCATCGAATTGAGAGAGCACCGAATTGAGAAAATGAATCACGGAATTGAGAAATGAATCTCCAAACATAAAAATCGCTCCGCAAACTTAGAATTGATGATATTATGAAGAAATACCTAATGTATTTCAACAATCAATATAATAAATACTTAAAACGTTTTGATATCTGATTGCTGGTCTATTAGTTAGATGGTTCATTTTAGGTTTATGTGTCTGAAATACCAATGGAATAAAACAAAAATCCTAATCAATATGTTTAATTTTTTAATAAGGAACTATAATAAATTCTTAATTTTTATATATTATTTTAATTTTATTTAAATAAAACAAATAAATACATAACACAGGGTCTCTTTGTTTATTTTTATTCTTAACCTTAAACATAAAAAAAATATTGCAAAACCCAAGAGCCAGATTGACCTGACACTATACCGAAGATATTATATCGGACGTCAGTTTGTACACGATTAAAATGGCACTCAAATAGCTGAAATACAACAAGGCACCAGGTGTTACGGTATTATAGCTGAGCTTCGCCGGTACTAAAGGCTCTACAGAAGCAGTTTAATTCCGTCATTCTCGAAGAAAAAACGCCTCCGGCATGGCACAGAAGTGTGGTGATAGCATTATAGACTCATCTCACTTAAGAGGCTGCAAGCTGTTTTCGAGATTCCTTACGAATCATCTCGCTCGCAGACTCGACGACTTCCAGTCTTCCGAACAAACTTGTTTCCGAAAAGGCTTTAGTATTTTGGTACACACACAGGTACGCTATGGCAGATTATACAGAAGACCAAGGAGTCGCGATATCGGGGATGATATCGGAGTCATGGCCTCCGTAGAGCCTTTCAACAAGTGGGTCTTAAAATGAACATGGACAAGACAAAAATCATGTCAAATGTTCGTGTTGGTACATTTTTTTTTCAGTACAGTCAGTTTAAACTAGGCAAAATTTTTATTTTGAAATTTTTTTTTGGGATTAATGTATTTTTTTCATCCAAGCTGGAGCAGCTGGTTTTGTAATTTTGATAACAATTTAGAGAAGCATTATTCAGGGTTACATAACAACAAAAAAAATTTGGAAAAAGTGAAGATTTGTGGCAACACGAGCAAAAGGACCGTCACCTGGAGTAGAATTTTTTGATTTTTTTTAAATGCCTATTATTTTTAAAATATGCCACATAGATTTTTTTTTATATTTTTCTGATAACCAGCACAACTTGCCTCAACACCCAGTTCCGGCTTGACGTTACATTACGGGACAACCTGTATAATAGATACTGGTGTCAAATCGTGAATCACGAAATCTCATTGCAGAAACTGCAAGTGCTAGGAGTCTCAAATTTTGAATAGGTTCCTTTTAGAACATAGGTGCTCACTAAGACGGGATTTTGCAAAATTCAAACCCTAAGGGAGTAAAACGGGGTCCACGCGTACGAAGTCGCGGCCGGACTCTAGTACAAGTAGGTATAGTATAAGTATAACCTTTGTGTACGTGTTTTAGAAATTGAAGGTTGAATCCATCATTATTTTCTTTGTGAATAAACCACTCCACTCTCCACTGCCAGCTGGTGTGGTTCGCAGAGTGAGGCTAAATAAAGTCTGTTTTTCACTGACTTTTTATTGGTCTGGACCAATAAGTCTGAATCTAACCTAAGGTATGTAGATACATAGATGCCTAGTAGTGACATAATATGATGCCTTTTTTATATATTTGTATTATATTTATCAGTTATCTAAAATACAATATTTGTATTATATTTATCAAATTATCTAATATACATTTGCTAATAGATTCATTTTATGCTTATCTTAGTTGTGTAAATGGAATCCTCGCGCGTGTAATAATTTTATCACAATTTTTTTCGCATAATGCAAGTCATTTGCCAGCTTTTTATGGCAACAATTTCATAACAATCCTAATCAAGTCCTATTATCATCATGAGGTGAACTGTTATATGCTGAAAACCTCATCAGAAGGGAGAGTGAGAGTAAGAATTTTCAGAGTTATTTTTCAGAGAATTTTCAGAGTTGTTTTTATCTTGAGTAAACTTTTCTCCCTCCAGGTGGCATTAAAAAATTAGAAAGATAGAACCTCCGCTCGAGAATTTGACTTTCAGATGTTTATAAGGAGTAGGTATAGTTTATGACCCACGCTGAACTGTCTCACCAAACTCAATGACAGGGGGGCGCTAACATCGTTCAACTATATGGTTTCCAACATGGCAAAAATCGGAACCAGTGATCCGGTATTGACGGTGGCGCCCCACTGTCAATGTCATGCACAGGACAGTTCAGTATTTTGGAACTATAAGTGGAACCTAAATATGAGTAGGGTTACGTCTTAAAATCATAGATTACTTTCTAGTTTTTTTTTTAAATAGTTAGGTACCTTTATTTTGAAAGCAGGGGTAAAAATAAAAATTTATGTTATCAAGCCGTTTATTATCATACACAAACATAATTATGACATCAAAAATAAAAGCACGAAGAGTTTCGTGATTTGGGTAGAGTGCCCATCATAATCTTCTGGATACTAAAATTAAATAACAACGATCGTCTCTTTAACGATTGATGAAAAATTCCAATAATAATCAACAAATTCTACTACAGACTACCAGACAAAGACAGATCACAAAAATGGTTACACTGAACCACTATAAATTCAATACTTCAATACTTTTTTCCACGTTCTGCTACATTACGATCCTCTTCAAGTCTCAGGGCACCTTCTTTGTTTTGGTTTGGTCCCCGGCAGAAAGCATTGAAGCAATGCACCCACTGTAACGACATCATAAAGTCAATTTTAGTCAGTTTAAATAGATACCACTATAAAAAAACACTCATGGTGCAAAAAAGTAAAACCTTTTCTCACACTTCACACTAGCATCGTTGGAGTGTCGTTGTCTTGCCAGTGCCTGCGCAGAAATCTGCCGAATTTACGCAGCGCTGCATCCCATGCTTAACGGATATAGGATTTGTAACAAATCCCTTAAAAAAGAACAGAGAGTTTAGAGTGTAGGTAGGTACTAACATAAAGCAATGCTCCCGAACACGTAGAAAGACGCCTCGCAGTTGGTGTTAAGCATCTCCTTCAGCAAGTTGATGCCCAGCGCAGCACTACCCCGACCCACCATCAGGGTTAGGCAGACCGCCATCGCTCTGGAAACAAAAAATAAATTATTAAGAGGCATTTAGCCACAATAAATCTCTAAGCATTAATCTTTCAACACTTATCGCTTGCCCTTCTGATAAGTACTGATGACCAAAGGTAACCGTCAGATCAGGCTGAGAGCAACTTTCTTGTAGTGGAATCAATTTTTTTTGTTCATTCATAACGAAGAAATTCTTAGCCTGCATCCTACATAATGGAATACATGTTTTCCTAAGAGTCTCGCAAGATATTATACCTGCCTTGACTTGATTTTTCATGAAGCAAGTAAATACGGGACTGTTCCTACCTCTCGTTCCCATCGCTGCAACTCCTGTGTAGCCAGGATCTACAGCTTGACTGCCAATAAAAACCCAACCAGTGAAGGTCAAGTTTGCCCCAGGGGAAAGTTAACTATCATTGGATTCGCAACGAAATTAATCAGAAGAACATAGTGAAGTACGTACTCGTAAATAATAATTGTAACATTAAATACACATACTTAACATAAGTAGGGAACAGGGTGACACTGAAGGTGTTCAAGAAGCCGAAGTTGATGGAGCCCGAAATGTACAGCAGGAAGAACACGGCGCTGAGGTACCACATCGACGTGCAGTTCACTAGCAGCCCTGACACGCCGCATATGACCTACAATTGGAAAAACGTCAACATCGAAACAAAGCAAGGCGCCTAAAGGGCCCTCGCCCACGGCGACTTTTTGTAACGATGCAGTCGCGCTGCTGTAGTGCTACTAGCGATGCCGTTTCGTAAAGTCGCCGTGGGCGAGGGCCCTAACTTCCTAAGGTGAATCGATCTATGAAGGTTAATACGAAAATCATTGGGGGAGGGAGGCCTTTCTTCAGCAGTGGGCGTCTGCGTCTATGACTCAATTGATGATGATGTACATTACTACATAACAACGTAATATGCTCAAGTTTTTGATTGAATTCTACTCAAATGCTATATCCTAGTTTGTCACAAGATGAAATGGTAATTAATTTTCTGTTGGTAGTTCTTGTTTCCTAAGGATTCTGGAGAAGGTTTTAATGTGTCATAAAATTATGTATTTGTAAATAAAGGACGCCATTTATGAAGAGGTCATAAAGCTATACAAAAGTGAATAAATCTAGCCACCCAGGACCATAACTATATTGGAGTAGGTATTTGTAGCAAGTATTAGTATTATTACCAACCTGAATAATGATAAGCAGCGTCTTCCTGTCCATGTAGCTGACGAGAATGGACACAACGGTGTTACCGGCGGCCATGATCATGCCGATGCCGAAGACCATGGTCATTGCAAACTCGTTCAATGCGCATTTGTCTTCTACCTGCAATTTCAACATATGAGTAGGTAGTACTTGTCAACCGTATACCTACGTGTCCTTTTGAAAAAAAGGTTCCTAAAAGTGCCGTCAAATTAAAGGCGTGCGGCGTGCCGCGCCTATACTAGTTTTCATACAATTTCCAGAAGAAAAGCAATAATGTTGTGCGCGAAAGCGATTAGAGACGTAGGAAGCGCTGCAGTAGTGCCACAGTGGTGGTTTGAAGGTGCCACAGGTTTGAAGGCGTCCTAATGGTCATAAAGATATAAATTCTTCTTATAACAGCAGGTCACAAGACAAGTTAGTATTTTGCAGGTATTCTTAAAGATAATAAATAACCTGTTCAACAGTGATGTTCTGTGAGGCCCGGAGTCGCTCGCAGAAGGTGAGACCTGTCTCCCCACGCTGCACCGACCGCATGACTCCGTCCACGATGTACGGCATCCACACCATGTAAGGGTTTATACTGGACAGAAATAAGCACAACATAGGTCTAATAAATGAAAGAAGAAAGAAAGTAAGAAAGATTTATTACAATGGACATCACAAAAGGCATAAGAGGTAAATAAAAAAAAAACAAAAAGACAGGTAACACATAAAACATACAATAGAAGAGAAAATAAACTGAGCAGTGCCACCCTGTCGCACAGCGATGCCCATCGCAATGGGACCCCACTCAGAATATGCCGTGGCCCACGGTGAAGAAGGCCATCTATTAAAACTTTAAAAAAAGTTCTTGTAATACTTCCATCCCGCAGGATTTACCAACCATTATTGTTTAACCTTTAGTGGCGGGCAAGTTGTACATTTTTGAGATACAGGATTTTTTGCAATTGTGGAAACAAGAGGTGACACTTATCCTGATGAAATAAGCCAACAATTTGAGTATTTGGAACGATACTCAAGCATGAATCGAAACTGAACAATAGATTCAAGATAGACCTAAATAGACATTAAAACTCAACCAATCTTGGTAACTTACCAAATATAAACAATAACGAAGATGATAGAAATCAGTAGGGTGTTCTTGAGGAGAGGTGGCTTGAACAGCGGCGTGGTCTGCGCAACCAGGGACGACCAGAAGCCCTTCACTGCTTCCGGGGCGTCGTCTTCGTTTAGTGCCAGAGATTTTACCTTTGGACAAATAGATATTTTAACAGTACTAATAGATGATATTATAAATACGAATAGACTAAGAACAGGAGGAGGACATACTTAGAATGGTAAGAACGTTGGTGCATCATGATGTTTGGGTCATCGCGGCTTTGGCTACCCTTAAAAATTACTGTCTGGTAAATTGTTGGAACGGTCAAAACTCTCTGGATGATGAGGAGATGATTTATATTTGCAAGTTATGTCTAAAAAGCAATGTGACTAAGCGCTCGATGCCATTAAAGAAGTAAGAAAATAGCTATTTACTTACTGGGTATTCCTCTCCGCTCTTCTTGGTATTGATGACAAACATGCTCCTCAGGATATGCAAGGCTTCGTCTTCTCGCCCAACGCTCAGCAAGAACTTGGGGCTTTCGTAGGCGAAGACAAGGCCAATAGCACTGATGGCGCAGGGCGTGGCGAAGATTAGGCACTGGAGACGCCAGGAGTTGAAGTAAATGCCGAGGACTGACCAGTAAAAGGCGAATTTGAGTGGGAGCACTGGTATGGCTATTGCTGTANTCGCTGTGAACAAAAATAGTTCTTTAACACTGCATAATGCATGATTAATGTAAAACTTACTATAATGTTAAATGTTTTTGACTGTAATGTAATGTATCTCGAAGATTTCGTCATTTCAGCCAAATGACGTCCACTGCTGGACAAAGGGCTCCCCCAAGGTTTTCCATGATGAACGGTCCTGCGCTCGCAGAGACGATCGCCGTTGGGGCAGAAAAGTTCTCAAGTGGCGACCACGGGTTGGAAAACGTAGCGTGGGCAGGCCTCCAGTAGGTGGACCGACAATATGGTAAAGGTCGCAGAACCGTTCTCGAAGATTGACCACGGGTTGGAAGACGTAGCGTGGGCAGGCCTCCAGTAGGTGGACCGACAATCTGGTAAAGGTCGCAGAACCGTTCTCGAAGATTCACTTAAACATTTTCATTGCCTCAAACAAACATTTAATTGCCATTCCTACTTATTTGAAAGAGTTCATTATCGTTTACCAGCCATAAGCCCATTGGCAGCGAGGAAGACAGTTCCAGAGAGCACGAGCACAGCAGAGCGCTTAGCTACCGGGTTGCACTCGCTCAGCAAAGTCATCGACAGTGCAAACGCTCCAGCCACTCTGTAAATGTAGGTATTTCATAATTAATTGGTTTAAAATGACCCGGAGAACATCGTACCGTTTCATTAGAAATAATGTTGAATTGTAATGGTGAAAGAATTTTTCAAATTGGTCCGGTAGTTTCAGGGCCTATTCAAAACAATCAATCAAAATAAATACTGGTGTCAGAGACTGGAGGTACCGAAGAGGACATCACTTCGCGCATTGCCAAGGCTAGAGCCACCTTCGCACAACTTCGCCCCGTATGGCAGTCACGGAAACTGACCCGAAGGGTCAAGATCAAAATTTTCGGGTCCAACGTTAAATCCGTGCTGCTCTATGGGTGTGAAACGTAGAAGGTCAGCAAGGTCATCTCGCACCAGCTGCAGGTCTTCGTCAACCGCTACCTTCGCCGAATTCTCGGCATATACTGGCCTGAGAAAATCTCCAACGTCGAGCTATTGGAACGCTGCCACGAAATTCCGATCGACCAGCCGCAAGTGGAACTGGATTGTCCACACTCTCCGAAGGGATCCCGATCACATCCCCAAGCAGGCTCTGGATTGGAACCCCCAAGGAAAACGCAAACGTGGTCGCCCCAAGCAAACTTGGCGGCGCACTGTGGCAGACGAGGCGAAGAAGATCGGCAAGACTTGGAGCGAGATCAAACACATAGCTCAAGACCCAACGCGATGGAGGACTGTTGTGGACGCCCTCTGCCCCATCTAGGGGACATAGGACCATAAATCAAGTAAGTCAATCAAAATAAATCTTTAAAAAAAGATAGGTAGGTACATTGGTACAGGTATAGTGGAGAAACTTACTGCCTGCTTAAGATATTTGTCAAACCAGTTTGAGGCCTTTAAACGCCTAATAGATAATTATAGAAGATCCAGTGTCTAAGTAGCTCAGTTGGAAGAGTAGTCGCCCGGCAAGCGGAAGGTCGTAGGTTCAATTCCCGCCTTAAGCAGTTCGATTTTTTCAAGTTATTTATAATTTTCAAATTATAGAAGATGCTTGTGATTATGTGAAGTCAAAACGGTCAACTACATTTAAAGACCTACGGATCTTCAATTTTCTCCTAGCTACTCGTAACTTTAAGCAACAAGTAGCCTACTTGACACTACACGGAGATGGTGAAGGCTCCCAACGACTTACTAAATAAAGATTAAGACTTATTATAACAAAAACACCACCAGTACTGCTTAACTTAAACTTTTCAATGGCATATCCTTACGAGCCTGAAGACAAGAGCTTGAGGATGCTGAAGGTGATCCAGTCGGGAGAGAAGGCGGAGGCAGCACCAGCCACAAAGCTCAGGGTCATGGAGAAACACAGCACCTTCTTGCGGCCGCGCGTGTCGGCCAGGTAGCCCCAGATGTGGGACGTCGCGATTATGCCTGGAAAGTACGACATAAATTGAGCGATTAGTGATCAAAATGATCCTTGCCTAGAATTAAGCCCCCTTACTTTGAGCCTCTAAAAGTTACACGCGTATTCGTCAATATGCCTGTAACTTTGGTAGGTATCCGCTGAAAATTATTTTGTTAACTTGACGATTTGTGTCAGCAATTTTGCTGAGCAGCCGCGTAACATGCCTCAATAAAAAATTAAGAATCTATGTACCGAAATTAATGTTAAATCATAATTTATTAGGTTATTAGTATCGTCGTTAAATTCTGAATACTTAGTACCTTCCTATTCAAAGACTGGCTTAAAAGGGCTTGCACCCAGAGCCGTAAAACATTAAACAATAGTACCTACCTACCTACATTCTAAATTCTAATTTATTTATTAGAACGGGGGTAATAGATAAACGCATGAAAAAAGGCTCTCAACTGTAACCATGACAATAAAGAGAAATAGCAGGAAAAATACTCTTCTTGTAACAGCTGTATTATAAATATGAAACTTGATAAGATTAAAAGATATATGTGCACAAATAATACGTTGATTTACTAACGTAATTACGGTTAACAATCTCATCATACCTACATCTGTAGGTATACGTTGTTTTGGAAAGAGATAAAAATTCCCGTGGGTCTTATCACTTTCCGTAACCTCCATTCCCATTTTACTTTCTTCTGTTCAGGAATTATATTAACCCATATGAGGTTGTCACTTCAAAGTCCGTCACGTCATCAAAAGATCTGACCTATTCATCCATTTGCCATGCCATTCAGCTCATTGTGGTGGCCTCCAACGACTTTCGTTGGATGACCAAGCAACCCGCTTAATGGGAGTAATCCCACCACTGTAACTCCTGTATAGCTATGATCTTGTCCTCCATTGAAACCCAATCAGTGGAAGTGGAGTAGTCCTTTCAGAAAGCTAACTGTCTTAGAACCCGTAACGAATTTAATTATAACAAAATAGGAGGAGGAGTTTGAAATAAAACATAGCCTTTCCTCTGAACAACGTTACCCTGTCTTCCCCATAACCCCAGTAAGTTGGTACTCACCCATGAGAGGCATCGCGGCCATCAGTCCTTGCTGCGAGCTGGTGGTCCCGAGCTCGCAGGCGCTGGCGGGGACCAGGTAAGACACCGAGAAGATCTCAAACGCCATGCCTATGATGATGCTGCTGCACAGTATGAAGGTTAGCAGGTTGAACTTGCCGTAGCCTGGAAAGGTGGAACTTGTCCATTTTATTATCAACTTATCAAAGAATAGTGGACACTTATTAAGGCATTTAGATTTTTTGCAGAATTAGGACCTGCCTTGCTGGTAGGACAGGTAGGATTTGATACAGCGTTGCCAGTTTTTTTTTCGCCAAGTCGGGACTTTGGTTATTTTTGAGTGAAAATAGCGGGATTCTTCCGTCAGAAGCGGGACATAGTAAAAAAACGTATATAATCAAAGGTTTTCAAATATTTATCCTTTTATTTGACTTAAAATTACGTTTACGTGACAATAGATAGCAAAAGTAGCCATAGAAAATGTATTTTAACAAAAAAATAATATTTTAAATCAGATTTACTCTATCGTTAAATTCGTCTTTAGAATAAAAAAAGAAAAAAAAAAACAAAAAATCGAAATAAAAAAAATATTCTTTAGAATAATATGGAGTTTCAAACAATAGTCTGGTGAAGTGAGTGTCTCTCTCCGAAAAGCGGGACAGAGCCTGTACCGCGCGGGACATTTAAATTTGATTTAAAAATCGGGACGTCCCGCCAAAATCGGGATGTCTGGCAACGCTGATTCGATAGATTTACCAATGTTTCTGTCAGCATTAAGTTGTTGAGTCGTTTATTGTATACCAGCGGCCGCCCGCGACTTCGTACGTAGGATGGACGTACCTACGCATGGATCCCTTTTAACCCCCTTAGTAATAGAATTTTGCAAAATCCCGTCTTACGCCCGATTCCCATATTCAATCCTTGTCCAAATCCGGATTACAACTGTCAAATTAAATTCAGTTTTATATTATATTTCCAAAATTTTCGATGCATTTACACTTTACTATTGTTTAAATAGTCTTATAAACAATATAAAAATGTAAAAACATCAAAAACCGCAGTTATTTTGGCCAAAAATATATTAAAATTTGACAGTTGACAATCCAAATCCGTATAATTTGGATTAGGATTTAATATAGAAATCCAGCATTGTGAGCACCTACGTTCTAAAAGGTTTGAGACAACATTTGAGACTCCTAGCACTTGTAGTTTGTCAGATCTCTCGTGATGGTGTCAGTCAATCAGTGACCATTCGCTTTTATAGATTGAAATTATTTTGAAACAAACACACCGTTCGTTTTTAGTAAATAAATAATTATTTTGTTACGCATTCTTAGCTGAAAAATAGACCTGTACTTAGGACCTGAATTTTCACTTGAATTTTGGACTTTACAATAATTTTAAACAAAATTGCTCAAGAAGACTGGAAACTGGTGACTGTAAACCAGTTATCATACTCTGGTTAATACCTGTCAAATCCATTGCCTCCTCGAAGGGCACTTTCTCCAGCTTCGCCATATTTTCAGATACCTCTTAACTGAATTCGTTCACATTAAAATTCACTTAAATTTCAGTTCCTTCAAACTACCGGTTTCCGTTGGTTCTGATTGGCAACCTCAAGTATCAGCTCGAAATAAGGCATTATAAAAGTATGTTATCTGAGCAGTTTAAATATACGGTTATTTGCCAAAATAAATCCATTATCAATAAGATAAGATTTAGAACATTTAATTATGTTTAAATGTGTTGTATGTGAGTGGTACCGAAGATTTCCTTAAAGTATATGGAGCAGAAGTTCCTGCTGGTGGTATGCATCGAAACAAGTTGTCAAATCTTTATTTTATGTAAGACTAGCNTTATTAATGCATTTAGATTCTTTGCAGAATTAGGACCTGCCTTGCTATTGTAGGACAGGTAGGATTCGATACATTTACCAATGTTTCTGTCAGAATTAAGTTGTTGAGTCGTTTATTGTATACCAGCGGCCGCCCGCGACTTCGTACGTACGCATGGATCCCTTTTAAATCCCTTAGTAATTGAATTTTGCAAAATCCCGTTTTAGTGAGCACCTACGTTCTAAAAGGTTTTAGACTACATTTGAGACTCCTAGCACTTGTAGTTTGTCAGATCTCTCGTGATGGTGTCAGTCAATCAGTGACCATTCGCTTTTATAGATTGAAATTATTTTGAAACAAACACACCGTTCGTTTTTAGTAAATAAATAATTATTTTGTTACGCATTCTTAGCTGAAAAATAGACCTGTACTTAGGACCTGAATTTTCACTTGAATTTTGGACTTTACAATAATTTTAAACAAAATTGCTCAAGAAGACTGGAAACTGGTGACTGTAAACCAGTTATCATACTCTGGTTAATACCTGTCAAATCCATTGCCTCCTCGAAGGGCACTTTCTCCAGCTTCGCCATATTTTCAGATACCTCTTAACTGAATTCGTTCACATTAAAATTCACTTAAATTTCAGTTCCTTCAAACTACCGGTTTCCGTTGGTTCTGATTGGCAACCTCAAGTATCAGCTCGAAATAAGGCATTATAAAAGTATGTTATCTGAGCAGTTTAAATATACGGTTATTTGCCAAAATAAATCCATTATCAATAAGATAAGATTTAGAACATTTAATTATGTTTAAATGTGTTGTATGTGAGTGGTACCGAAGATTTCCTTAAAGTATATGGAGCAGAAGTTCCTGCTGGTGGTATGCATTGAAACAAGTTGTCAAATCTTTATTTTATGTAAGACTAGCGGCCGCCCGCGACTTCGTAAGCGTGGATTCCGTTTTACCCCCTTCATCTATCTTACGCGGTTTAGATTTTTTCATACAAATGTTTTTTTTCCGCTAACTCCCGTTCCCGTTGGAATTTCGCAATATCCTGTTGTAACTAAGCTTTAAGTTTACTAAGGGACCTGCATGCCAAATTTCAAGCGTCTAACATAAGCTGTTTAGATTTTTCATACAAAAGGATTTTCCCGGTAATTCCTGTTCCTGTGGGAATTTCGGGAATTCCTTTCTTAGTGCACCTCTACGGTACTTAAGCTACGTCCCTTATAAATGTCAAGTGCCTACGTTTAGCCGTTTAGGCTGTGCGTGGGTATGTCAGTGAGTCAGTCATACAAAAGTAATTTCCCGCTAATTCCAGTTTCCGTGGGAATTTTGCAATATCCTGTTGTAACTAAGCTTTAAGTTTACTAAGGTACCTGCATACCAAATTTTAAGCGTCTAACTTACGCGGTTTAGATTTTTTCATACAAATGTTTTTTCCCGCTAACTCCCGTTCCCGTGAGAATTTTGCAATATCCTGTTGTAATTAAGCTTTAAATTTACTAAGGTACCTGCTTGCCAAATTTCAAGCGTCTAACTTAAGCGGTTTAGATTTTTCATACAAAAGGAATTCCTAAGTATCCTATAACCTGCCCAGGAGTAGGTATGAAGAATAATTGTACCAAGTTTCGTTAAAATCCGTCGAGTAGTTTTTGTTTCTATAAGGAACATACATACAGACAGACAGACAAAAATTTTACTGATTGCATTTTTGGCATCAGTATCGATCACTAATCACCTCCTGATAGTTATTTTGAAAAATATTTCATGTACAGAATTGACCTCTCTACAGATTTATTTTAAGTATAGATTAACAAATATTTTTTAAAGTATAATAAATAAAATTGATTGATTGATTTACTTTAAATGCCATATAAATTGGTGCATAAGGCGAACTTAGTGCCATAAGGCATTCTCTTCCAGTTACACGTTCGGGCCTCACAGAATACACACACTATCCTCGATACAATTAGAATTAGGCCTACCTAATTGCCATGAGTTGGTTTTGTGTGATTAATCCACTTATCTAACCTGTACTGTATTGCATTTGGAAAATTTTGGTTAGTTAATTAGTAATAAAATATCATAATGTTTGTCTTTTTATTAAGAGCGATGCATTATGATAACGGACTGAAAACGTCGTCTGACACTATGATTAGACAGACGACAAACGAACAGATAAAATTATAAAAATCATTGTTAATTACATACGACATTATACCTACCTAATTATAGACGAAGATCTTAATTGGAAACTTCATCTAGACAATATCTGCAACAGAATTAATAAATTCGTTCATGCTCTTAGACAAATAAAAAATGTAACGAACCGGAAAACCGCCATAATGACTTATCATGCTTATGTAGAATCCATTCTGCGCTATGGAATTATTATATGGGGCAATAGTACCGACACAAAAAGAGCATTTATTGCTCAGAAAAAATGCATCAGGGCTATATGTGGAATTCGTCCTGATGAGTCATGTAGGAGGCCACTTTTCAAAGAACTCCAACTTCTGCCACTTCCATCACTCTACATATACGAAGTAGCCGTTTTTGTCCACAAAAATACAGAACTTTTTAAAAAATCTGGTAATCTCCGATTAAGATGTCCTCAAAGACAAGGTAATATATACATAAAGACATACCGAGATCCACTAAATACGGAAATAGCTGTCTTTGCATGGGGATCCGTATTTATAACAAAATCCCTAAAGAAATAAAAGATCTTAATATAAATATGTTTAAAAATAGACTCAGGTGGCTTATGAACCATAGTTTTTATGAAATAAAGGATTTCATGACATTAAAATATGTATAAATGTAATTTTTGACATAGCTGACATACCTAATTAATTTATTGGACATTTTATTATTGTAAAACTGTACTGTACTGTTGAAAATTGATATAATTATAATGGCATTGTTTCTTTTTTATGTATGAATATTCAAACTTGCATGCTTCTTGATGTAGCAAAACTTGTGGACTTAAGTATTTTATAGCTGTAACAACTGTATACCATGTTTTATGCAAATAAACAATTATTCTATTCTATTCTAATAAATTGCTATTAATAATTAGTCTGTCATGATTGGTGTAAAACTTTATATTCAGATAGTTAATAAGTCAATTAATACTGTTTGTTTTCCGAATAAAGTAAAATAAATAAATAAATAATGATGACTTTCTTTAAAATTGCCATTAAACGAAATTACACTTTTGATCATTACTGTCAGTACTATAAGATCACTATTTAAATCGATGATACAGAATATTTACACAGTCCTAATTCAGCAGTGGACGTCCTATGGCTGAAATCATGATGATGATGATGATGAATACAATCTAAGTTATCGTTTTGTAACTCATTTTACTGATATTGATTCTATTAATAATCTATTCAAAGCACGTCACTAAATTTTATAAAAATAAATGAGGGTAAACCACACTTTTATTCAACTTGTCTAATGTCAAATCGGTCTTTCAACTCAACCAACGGGGGTTAGTGGACGCGTGCGCAGAAATAATGTTAAAAAGATAATTTTAAATAACGATAGATAGGATTTAAATAGTTAAATAATAAAAATGAGTCCGTTACAAATAATTTTGCGTGTTTTGTCTCTCGTGGTGGTGTGCCCGGTGGTAATCTTTTGTGAAGCACATGGGAATGTACGAGGTCGAGTCAGCATCAGTGAAGGAGGTAATGTACCCAGTTTTATTTCAGAAAGATTTATCATACAATAAATAAAAAAAGTGATAAAATTTCCAAAAACTGACATCCTACCTACATCACGAAAATATGATGATTAGTAGAATTTGTCTTATTTAGGTACTAACTACAAAATAAATGCTAGATACTTAGTGCGAAGTTGACAAAAGCTAGCTTTTATGATATTTATTTTACGTTACATACCTACTTCATTGCAGGTATGTTTTTATTCAAATATCAATCAACAACTGCCTACTACTTACTCCTGATAGTTTTCTTGAGCAATATCAGTCAAAGTAAAATCAGTTCTATAAACATTCACACAGGTACCTACCTATTTATAACGATTATTCCTTGAATAATATTTCTTCATACACCTTATATTTCTAACTTTTCGTGCTTCAGGCAATTTTTTATCGAATACCAATCCGTACATTATTTGCGATTCATAGGATCAAACTCAAAATATTTTTTTTCTTATTGTGTCAGTCGGTATTAGTATAGCTGGCCAGTGTCGTGAAATTAAAAGCTAAAAATTAAATGGTTTTATGAAAATACAAAAATTAACTTACAATCAAGTGCAGCCTATTTAATGTACCTAACTGGCCGTCGAGAAGAAAAAAAAAACTTTTTCTTTTCTGACGGATCGTTTTTGTTTTTTCTTATTCGGAAAATATTGTTTTTCAAAATGATTTTATTTCAGTAATGTAGTTCAATTATATCACGGTAATACTATCTACAGGGTGGAAACGTTAAGTGATCTCACTCGATTATTTCTAAACTATTCAAGATATTGAAAAACTCGTTACTGATCCTGAAAGTGCTTCATGAGCTCTTTCAAACGGTACCAATAATANAATTATGTATAATTATTGTACAATAAAATAATGTAATTATTATTAAGGCTAATTATTACCATTAAGCATTCGTAATTGTTAATGTATTCGTAAATGTTAATTTAATTCGTAGATGTTAACTGGTATTAAATAAATGTAACTTTGCTACACCCTTACAGGGTCAATGTATGAATGCATGTATACCTACCTGTATGTGCTGAATATGTTATTGCAAATGAATAAATAATTAAATAATATCTTCATAAACCTTACATTTCTAACTTTTCGTGCTTTAGGCAATTTTTATCGAATACCAAGTACATTATTATTCGATTCATAGGATCAAACTTTTTTCTCTTTTTCTTATTGTGTCAGTCGGTATTAGTATTGGCCAGTGTTGTGTAGGTAATTAAAGCTAAGATAGTTTTTATGAAAACACGAAAATAAACTGAATTATTTTGATGTGCGACCTCATTTGACGTTACTGGCCTCGTGAAAAAACCATTTTCTTTTCTGGCAGACCGTTTTTGTTTTCTGCATTTTCTTAAGTGACGTAGGTAGTATCTTTTGTTTTTCACAAAAAATACTTCTATTTGAGCAATACTACTCGTAGTTCAAAATTATGACAAGATTGTTAAATTTTTGTGAAAAAATTAAAGTATGAAAATAATAGTAAGTTGTTTTTTGATTTTTTTCTGTAAGGAAGTATGTAGATAGTGTGACCATTTTCTCCAAATTCCAGCACATGTGCACAAGTCAGAGGTTCCTTGCGAAGTCTGCCCGCGCCAAGGGCGGTGTGTGCCCAAGGTGCAGTGTCCCGCCCACCTCAGGCCTGCCTCGCACAACCCTGCATGCCATCTCCAAGGGACCAATGCGCTGGGCGTCTGCTGCTTCACTGGAAGCCATCATGCTGGTAAGACAGTGCAAGACGAGATGTTTGAGAATTTTGAAAACTTGTAGTTTCTTCTTTTCTTGCTCGTAGTTTAAAAACTGGATTCTGTGACTAAGTTATGGTATCATGTTTGTAGACTCTTTAGCTAGTTATTTACTGTAGTTCTATTACTAGACTGGGCAGACTGGGTACCTATGTATGTACTATGCGTTTAACTTAAGGTCAGTGTGAATACGGTCAAATACCTGCATTAAAAAAAGACGTCAATTTCTCCGTGTAGTTGATGAAACTTTTCTTTTACAATCCTGTACAGTGAATAGTTCTGTTCAACTAGTTCTGTTCTAGTTGTCAACGAGGCATCTGCACTTTGATCCCAAGATTGATTAGCGATTTTGTCGTCATGAATCCAAAAACTCCAAACTATTCTTTTCTAACATTTAAATTTAGAAAAAACTAATTTTGAAAAAAATAACTAAACAAATTGACACCACAGCGGAATCCGAGCACAAAGCTCGCAAGGCGACCTCCATCAACGAGCGCGATGTGAAGACCGCCCACCACCAGTCCAAACAGAAGCTGGCTTCTTGGCTGGCGAGAGCTGAGGGGCTGGCTCAGCATCATGCTGTAGTTGTCAACGAGACATCTCCGAGCTTCGCGCACCACATGGTAAGAAGCACACAAATACAGGAGATACCACAACAGAATCCTAGCACAAAGCACGCAAGGCAACCTCCATCCGACGTGAAGACTGCTCATCACCAGTCTAAGCAGAAGCTGGCTTCTTGGTTAGTCAGGGCCGAGGGGCTGCTGGCTCGCCACGGGGATATAGTAGTCAACGAGACCTCTCCGAGCTTCGCGCACCACATGGTAGCGCACAAATAATATAGAAGATACCACAACAGAGTCCTGGCAGAAAGCACGCAAGGCTACCTCAATCAACGAGCGCGATGTGAAGACTGCCCACCAACAGTGCAAGCAGAATCTGGCCTCTTGGCTCGCGACAGCTGAGGGTTTGGTTTAGCATCATGCTGTGGTGGTCAACGAGACGTCTTCGAGTTTTGCGCACCACATGGTAAGAAGGACACAAATAATAATAATACTTAGTGCCTCCTATCCTCTTCTTAAATTAGCCTGCTTGTAGTTTTTATCTTTCTACGATTTTTGTTTTAATAGGATTTAAAGTATCATCTACTATCTCTTGATAAGAAAATACATGTTTAGATTTTAATTGCATTAAGTCAAGCTATCAAAGTCGCCTCTGTTTTTTGCGTAAATTTTGAAAACAATTTATTCTAAAATGATCCACAGTATATCTACACTGGTGCCATTACGATGGAAGCGACGCGTAACCAGAAATAAATCCATTGTCTGACACCTAGAGCGTTCATAGCTCATATCACTAGAGCGTTTTTCCAATGTTTGATAATCTCTAAATCTCCAGTCAGTGATGACGTACGACAAGCGAGCAGACAAGCTGGGGCGGGGCGGGCTCCTGAACCTCTTCGCTGCGCAGGAGTTGAAGGCGCGCCAGGCGCTCTCCGATGATGAACTGGCGCTGGGATTCACTGAGCATACTGATGGTAACTAAGACTTTATTCTTATCAGAATAATGAATCTATAATTATCTTGCCACTAATTTGATTTTAATGAAATGTGAATTCTAAGTAAATTAGTCTAAAACACTAGTTTTATTAATTTTGATAAGTATTGCAAATGTGTGAGATTTTTAATAATGTTGTGCAGGGTGTTGAATTTTCCACTTGTTGATGTTACTTTGATTCTTGATCGGATCTCCTGATTTCTGATTCGATCACGTAGGGAAACTCCGAGCATGACACGCTCAGTCCGAAAAAAACAAAGCACCATCCTATTTGGATGCGAGTAACACAGATACCGTTTGTATAAGTAATCTTAAGTCAATTAAAACTTTTTGCTACCTACTTGAATACGCTTTTAATAAAGAGTAAATCTTCTTCAGGTCCATTCTGCCCACCACCCCCCACGTGCTCCAATCCACCGAGCCGTTACCGCAGCATCGGGGGGGATTGCAACAACCCTAAAAACCCAAGCTGGGGGGCCGTGCACTCGGGGTATGAGAGGCTGTTGCCTCCGGACTACAGTGACGGTAAGTTTTAGATATTAGTTTTGGAAAATGTGTGTGGTGCGTGAGAAAAAAATCAGTCCTTTGTATTATTCCTATCCTCATCCAGCACACCTCTAGAGGAGAAGGCAAAGAAGAAGCATTTGTGCCTACCAATTAAGATACGCGATCTTAGAAAAGACGTGACAGATATCAGGCAGAGTATTTTAAGTGGTGTTAAAAAAGATTATCTTCACACCATGCAGTTTCTTTTAGCTTTAGATTAGGCCACTCTGCTTCATTTTTATCTCATCTAGATATAAATGTCGTTTTATAAAGTGCAATGCCACGATAGCCGAACGGTGAAGGGGTCGGACTGGCCGACTCGAGATCCGAGGAACGCGGGTTCGAATCCCACCGCCGTCGCTCGACTATTGTGGTGAGCCTCTCGTAACACAAGCTTATTTAGCTTACCACGAGTGCATTAGCCTATTAGTAATTTGTGCAATACAAATTGGTAATAATCTTTAAAAAAAAATGCATTGCCTGCAGGTAATTCAGAATTAATTAAATCCCATAGGAACCTGGGCCATGCGCGCTTCATCCACCGGCCTCCCGCTGCCCAGCCCGCGACTAGTCAGCAACGCTTTGATCCTGGACGCTCCCCACCCGAGTCCAACACACAACTTGATGTTCATGCAGTTCGGACAGTTCATTGCACATGACACCACCTCTGGAGTCGTCTTCACTATCGGTAAGCTTTATAACTGCTTCTGAAGATGAATCCCATAGGAACCTGGGCCATACCGTCTGAAACGCCCTGATCCTGGACTCTCCTCACCCGAGCCCTCCACACAACCGCAGTTCGGACTGTATATCGCACATGCCACCAAGTCTGGAGTCATTTTGAATATCTGTAAGCTCTACAGATACTTTTGACCATGGAAACCTGCGCCTCTTCCACCGTCGGCAATGCTCTGATTCTGGACATCCCCCCTACACACAACTTGATGTTCATGCAGTTCGGACAGTTCATCGCACACGACACCACCTCTGGAGTCGTCTTCACTATCGGTAAGCTTTATAACTGCTTCTGAAGATGAATCCCACAGGAACCTGGGCCGTACCGTCTGAAACGCCCTGATTCTGGACTCTTCTCACCCGATCCCTCCATACAACCGCAGTTCGGACTGTACATATAATATATCTCACATGCCACCACGTCTGGAGTCATTTTCAATATCTGTAAGCTCTACAGCTACTTTTGACCATGGAAACCTGCGCCTCTTCCACCGTCGGCAATGCCCTGATTCTGGACATCCCCCTATCCGAGCCCTATACACAACTTGATGTTCATGCAGTTCGGACAGTTCACACATGACACCACGCCTGGAGTCGTCTACACTATTGGTAAGGCAGTTCCTTTGAATATGAAACCCCACAGGAACCTAGGGCTCAAGCTTTTAAATAGCATGCAGGCTAAAAGCTTTCCCATTGTAGTTAAAATTAAACAAGCTCTTTTGAGCAAATAATAGCTAGCCATTATTTCCTGTCATATCTTCATTAAGCTCTTAATTTATAATTTAAAGCACATTTTATTTTAGAGCGTTTAATTTTTTTTCCAAATGAAGTATCAAAGGATCATTAATATCTTCTTACAAAATAGTCTTCACTGTTGGCAAATAATAAAATTTCCCTCATAATTCACAACTAAAGGCTGGTAACGACGTCCCATATTTCTAAGTACCGTAATTATATGGAAATTAAGACCTATCGTAAATTCGACTTACAGCTGCAATTATCTGATGAAACGTTTGTGGTTAACTGGCATGCTTTACCTACTATGCGAGATAGATTATAAAACCGTTTGCTTGTATCTAATCGCTTATAAGTATGATTTAATAATCGCCTTGTGAAATAGCAGAGGCAGAAATTCTAACTGCCAGGAGAAAACAAGAATACTTGAAATAATTTCCAAGAAAAGTCTACAAGTTGCAAATTACACAAGGAAATCGTATGATCGAGATTAATGGCAGGCCTGGCTCACTCCGCGCGGTACATCCGATAATTACCTACAGCGAAGCGCCCCGCCGGCGGGTATTATATCAGTCGAGTGTCACGCGCGCGCTCGTCAGGACGCTGGCGTGCGTTGTAGTATGATTATAATTCTATGATCGAAGTTTTATTTAAAAATGGACATAAAGAGAAAGAAATATTGTGCGGCGTTTGGGTGTTTAAATTCGAAAAGTAATCTACCGGATTTATCTTTTTTTTTTCGCTTCCCAAAGATGCTGAAAGGTATGTTGGCCATGTAGGTAATCAATAATTCTTAGGATAGTATAGGAACCTAACCTACTATGAAGGTTTTCCATAATGACTGCATACTTACCTACATATGTACCTCATTACAAATAAGTAGATTAATTATTTTTTCACTAGACAGCAACCCTAACAGCGTAAGAAGAGTTCAGAGGCACGCGATAGAAAGAGACAAAACTTGTAGGTGAATAAAATTGTAGGTACGTAGTGCTGTGCGAGCTGAATTCCACTGTATCGCGTCGTAGCAAGACTCGCATTTATTTAAATCGTCTTGCGGAGTAATCCTTCTGTACCTGTACTATTACTTATTCTGTGTTAATGGGCCCAGTTTGAGACATCGGCTCAATAACTCGTTGGTAAGTTATGTAAATTCGAAAGTAGGAAATCTTTGCACTTGCACACTTTCTTGTACTGCATCTTTAAATAGCACATTAACTATTAAAACTCGTTGAACCGTTCATGTTGATTCATATTTTGTGAAATACCAATAATGTCAATGAAATCAGTGTCTGGCTTACAAGGCGCAATTTATATAGAAATGGGCCTAGGGTAGTCACTTTACTAGTCACTTGATCTTGCACAATCAGCAACTCTAGGATCACTCACACTCCGTTCTTCCTATGTATCAGTAGTAGCAGGGTTACGTTTAAGTAGAACTGAATAAATATCTATAGATTGATGCGTGAGTTTCGATCACAGAAAGCCTAGGCGCAGACCACCGACTTTTAGTTGGCCGATAGTTGGCTCCGGCTATTAATCAGTATAGACATGGTATGAAAGTGCGCGCACTACACCGATTTGGTATCGGCCGATTCCTCATACAAATTAAAATCGGGTCCAACTATCAGTCGACTAAAAATCGATGGTCTGCGCCTAGGCAAAGACTTTTTTATCGCGTGCATCCCCCTTAAAAATAGCTATAAAAACTTTCCTACCCTACTTTTACAGTACCTAGTTGACAACGCTCTTAAGAACATAATTGCGTAATATTTTTTTTCACAAGTTTTTATTTATTTTTGATTAAAAGTAATTTACCACTAATTTGTTAATAGTGACAGGGCTCAGTACACTTTTTGTGCTTTCTTCTCTTCTTTATGTTTTTATGTTTATCTTTTTGTCTTTATGATGACCATTGTAATTAATGTTTATTCTATTCTACTGCTAGTAAATCTATAGTTGGATATGCAGAATGTACAATTTCATACTCCCTGATGCTTTTTACAATACATGTGCAGTATTCGTAGTTTTATGCTCCCTGATGCATTTTTTACACTCTGTATAACATAAAAGACTTGTTATCCCAAAGCTATCCATCGTTAGTCCCCGTGTGGGTTACCCACCCATTAGTTTAACGACCGCCATCTGGCGGCCTTAAACCTAGCTTATGGCGTAGGTAAGTTGGTTACGATATTATACGTTACAGTTTTATAGCAAATATACTCGTCTATTTTAATTTGACGGCATTGTATTAAGTTTAATAATCTGCAGGAAAAATGTTGATAGTTTTTAAATGACTCTTTCGAATGAGTTTATAATTTCTCATTTGATGCACTTACGGGCTTGGTAACATGAAATTACTGATCACTTTATGTAGTAATTATTTCTATTTACAAATGAATCGATCATCAAGTCATTTAACCTCCACTTCAGGTGCTCGACCCTCGCTAATTTATCAGAAACAAATGTAGAATTTTGCGTTCCACTCCCCACGCTGGCCAGACGGGGTTTTGGCGTTCTGATGATCATTTGTACGACATCCACGTAAAGTTAGGGTAGCCTTATTAACTCTGCCAGAGTCACACAGTAAGAGTAGGCGCACACCGTTGATTTTTAGTTGGCCGATAGTTTAGTCGGGCAGTTGATCAGTATAGGCATGTATGGGAGTGCGCACACTACGCCGATTCGATTTGGCCGATTCTTCATACAATTTGAAGTCGGGCACAACTATCGGCCAACTAAAAATCAACGGTGTGCGCCTACTCTTAAACAGAGTAAGTACTGTAGCAAATTACAAATCACTATTGCCTATTTAATAATTTAAATAATTTGGTATAAAACTTGTCTCTAAGCCATTTTATAGTCTGTCTTTTGGAGCATATATTCAACATCAGAAAATCTTTATATGTTCTATCGAAATTACGGTCATTACAACGCAGACCGTAGCCAAATTTTTGCGGAGTCCTTCTCAGAAATCGCCTTTGAGCCGAAATTACGTACTATTTAATTAAATTTCAGTGCTCTTATGTCTGTAATTAAACTCGTCTGTGGTCTGAAATTGAGATGCCGGCATATAATTGGACCCTCTGGTTATATGTTGAAGGATTCCGTAGTTTAATTCGTGCTTGAACCGAAAAAAATACTATTTTTTATTGCTGGATGCAGGCCGCTACCAACCGGGCGATGTGGAAATCATTGGGGGAGGTCTATGTTCAGCAGTGGACGTCCTGTGGCTGAAATGATGATGATGATGATTATTTACATAGTTTGCAGTTTGCACACAGCTATAAAAAATAACAACAGCTAATAATAGGAGCTAAGCTAAACTAAGCATAGCACTTAGATTGCAACTAGCATTAATATTAACCCTAATACTTACATCATCATCATCATTTCAGCCTCAACAGGACGTCCACTGCTAACATAGGCCTCCACCAATGACTTCCACAATCGCACCTTTATCAAGTCGGTCGGTCCACCTTGTGGGAGGACGTCTCACGCTGCGTTTTCCGGTACATGGCCTCCACTCCAGAACCTTGCTGCCCCATCGGCCGTCAGTTCTGCTTACTATGTCCCCTGCCCATTGCCGCTTCAGCTAGCTAATCCGTCAGTTCTGCGTACAATGTGCCCTGCCCATTGCCACTTCAGCTTGCTAATCCGTCGGGCTATGTCAGCGACTCGAGTTTGTTTACGGATCTCCTCATTTCTGAAGTGATCTCGTAAAGTAACACCAAGCATAGTCCTTTCCATAGCAGCCTAATACAACTTGTGGTCAACAAGTCACTTTAGGCAAAGATACTAAAAAATAAAAATTGGCCAAGTGCCTGTTGTGCCACGCACAGTGTAGGGTTCCGTAGTTGTCCGTCGTTATTAGATATAAAATTTTATAATACATGAGTTAAACTACTATTTCTCTTAAACTAACTGATCTATCTTAACCGTTATAGTTTTCCTTGAAAGTGCAGAAAAAGCACCATTATTATAAAAGAAACTCCTAAGTAATTTTAAAAGATCTATCCAACAATATCCCACACGATGGGGTAGAAGAAGAAAAAAAATTTCATCCCCACTTTACATGTAGGGGAGCTACCCTAAAAAAAATGTTTTTTCAAAATTTTATTCTACCGTTTTGTCGGCGTGATTAATACCTCCACAAAATTACAGCTCTCTAGTGCCAATAGTTTCCCAGTAAAACCTCGGACGGACAGACAGACAGACGGATATAGCGAAACTATAGGTTCCTTGTCAGGACTACGGAACCCTAAAAAAAAAGATACTAAAAAAATGTAAAAAATATTCGTTCCACCGTATTCGCGTGCCCTTAAATTTTTGGTCCACTCATGTGTGCCCTTTATCGACGGGTACAATACAAACACGGTCGCTGCGTTGTTTGATTAACTTTTGAAAGCTCTTTTTAGAGCTTTTGTAACAAACCAATACCCAACTTTTTATTTGGTTGTATTGCTGCTGTAAGAATTTGTATACAATAGGTGAAATAAAATGTAACTTGGTAATAAAAATGCTTTCTTTTTTGTTTTGAAATCCTGTTACTAGATATAAAAGAACCTTCTTTTTTTAATCTGTAGTCTGGTCTGTGACAGTAACATAATTACACGCGAGCGATAAGGATGGGTAGCTTAGGGTCATTGGACAAAATTCTACGTGCTCACAGACCGGGCTTTATAGCCAAAATAAAGGATGTTTTCATGATTTAAGCAAAAATCTTGGTAAATGGAACAAATTCTATGTTAATAGATTCCAGATTTGACTGTAGTTACCAACTTTAAAAAAAATACGTAACGCCACTTTCAGCCTAGTACTATTGCGCCGCTAAAGTCGCTCTTGTTTCGAGGGGAATAAAGGTCATAGCAGACTTATCAACTCGGAAAGGGATCAACACCGTATCGCCTTTCACGAGCTGTCATCGCTTTTCGCGCGCTGTTAACCGGGAGGCGAGGCGTTTACGTTACGGTGCGGTGCGGAAAAGTGTGCGTGCAGTATGGAGTTTCGTACAAAAAATAATGAACCCCTCGAGTTGATACGGTTACGATCCCTTTCCCGGTTGATAAGTGTGCTACGTCCTTTATCCTACTATAATTCATTCAGACTATTTAGATTGCCTGCTACGAACCTCAGTAGCAAATACCCTACTACGGTATTATCGTAGCTACGGTGCACTTGTAGTAAGTAGCAAGCAAAGCTACGGTGCATTCGTAGTAAGGAACGCTACTACGGCGTTCTCGCTACAGTGTATTTGTAGCGTAGAGTGCGTGTTACCGTAGCTAGTAAAACACTAACGGTCTTATTCATAAAAAGTTAAAATAGGTTTATTAGCTTGTTATAGTGAAAATCCCGAAAAGTATTATTCATAAACGTCATATACCGCTAAAAAGCTTTGTAAGTATTCAATACCCGCTTCATAACTTATAACAGGGTCGACCCTACTTTAAACCTCTAATAAAGAGAAATATGGCCGACAAATGTGCAACAGCTGATTTTTTTTGCGTCCGGTCCGAATCACAGATGANTAAATTGCTATTAATAATTAGTCTGTCATGATTGGTGTAAAACTTTATATTCAGATAGTTAATAAGTCAATTAATACTGTTTGTTTTCCGAATAAAGTAAAATAAATAAATAAATAATGATGACTTTCTTTAAAATTGCCATTAAACGAAATTACACTTTTGATCATTACTGTCAGTACTATAAGATCACTATTTAAATCGATGATACAGAATATTTACACAGTCCTAATTCAGCAGTGGACGTCCTATGGCTGAAATCATGATGATGATGATGATGAATACAATCTAAGTTATCGTTTTGTAACTCATTTTACTGATATTGATTCTATTAATAATCTATTCAAAGCACGTCACTAAATTTTATAAAAATAAATGAGGGTAAACCACACTTTTATTCAACTTGTCTAATGTCAAATCGGTCTTTCAACTCAACCAACGGGGGTTAGTGGACGCGTGCGCAGAAATAATGTTAAAAAGATAATTTTAAATAACGATAGATAGGATTTAAATAGTTAAATAATAAAAATGAGTCCGTTACAAATAATTTTGCGTGTTTTGTCTCTCGTGGTGGTGTGCCCGGTGGTAATCTTTTGTGAAGCACATGGGAATGTACGAGGTCGAGTCAGCATCAGTGAAGGAGGTAATGTACCCAGTTTTATTTCAGAAAGATTTATCATACAATAAATAAAAAAAGTGATAAAATTTCCAAAAACTGACATCCTACCTACATCACGAAAATATGATGATTAGTAGAATTTGTCTTATTTAGGTACTAACTACAAAATAAATGCTAGATACTTAGTGCGAAGTTGACAAAAGCTAGCTTTTATGATATTTATTTTACGTTACATACCTACTTCATTGCAGGTATGTTTTTATTCAAATATCAATCAACAACTGCCTACTACTTACTCCTGATAGTTTTCTTGAGCAATATCAGTCAAAGTAAAATCAGTTCTATAAACATTCACACAGGTACCTACCTATTTATAACGATTATTCCTTGAATAATATTTCTTCATACACCTTATATTTCTAACTTTTCGTGCTTCAGGCAATTTTTTATCGAATACCAATCCGTACATTATTTGCGATTCATAGGATCAAACTCAAAATATTTTTTTTCTTATTGTGTCAGTCGGTATTAGTATAGCTGGCCAGTGTCGTGAAATTAAAAGCTAAAAATTAAATGGTTTTATGAAAATACAAAAATTAACTTACAATCAAGTGCAGCCTATTTAATGTACCTAACTGGCCGTCGAGAAGAAAAAAAAAACTTTTTCTTTTCTGACGGATCGTTTTTGTTTTTTCTTATTCGGAAAATATTGTTTTTCAAAATGATTTTATTTCAGTAATGTAGTTCAATTATATCACGGTAATACTATCTACAGGGTGGAAACGTTAAGTGATCTCACTCGATTATTTCTAAACTATTCAAGATATTGAAAAACTCGTTACTGATCCTGAAAGTGCTTCATGAGCTCTTTCAAACGGTACCAATAATAGGTTACAGAATAAACAGGATCTATCTGAAAATTCAATGTTTCCAGCTTCCATACTAAATGTATGCCAGACACACAATATTAGAAGGGTATTTTTTTTTCATTAAATTATTATTCAATGAAAAAAATACACATAAGAGTTTATTAACCCTTAAAATAAACTCGTAAATTGTATTCTTATTTAAAATTATTCATGGTAAACATTGGTTTTAGGCTTTACTTGCTATAATATTGTCAAGAGATGAGTGTCATGACTGTGGTAGTACTAAATGTATGGAAGAAGGAAACATTGAATTTTTTGATAGATCCTGTTTATTCTGTAACCTAATATTGATACCATTGGATAGAACTTGTAAAGCACTTTTAGAATCAGTAATCAGTTTTACGATATCATGTGTAGTTTTTAAAATAATGTGACTTTACCAAATGTATGGAAGCTGGAAACATTGAATTTTCGGATAGATCCAGTTTATTCTGTAACATATTATGAATGCCGTTTGATAGAGCTCATGAAGCACTTTCAGGATCAGTAACTAGTTTTTTCATATCTTGTATAGTTTAGAAATAATCGAGTGAGATCACTTATCGTTTCCACCCTGTATATGTTGTAGTAGTAGTAATGATGATTAGATTAATTAATTATGTAAAAGTTAAATAAATATTTCACAAACTGCGATTTTGTCTGTAAGAATAACGACTGAGTTACAACTTTCTCCAAATTCCAGCACATGTGCACAAGTCAGAGGTTCCTTGCGCAGTCTGCCCGCGCCAAGGGCGGTGTGTGCCCAAGGTCCAATGTCCCGCCCACCTAAGGCCTGCCTCGCACAACCCTGCGTGCCATCTCCAAGGGACCAAGGCGCTTGGCGTCTGCTGCTTCACTGGAAGCCATCATGCTGGTGAGGTTTTGGAATATTTAAGTTTGTTTATTCTTTTCGTACTATGTTATGTATGTACTATGCATTTTACTTAACATCAAGAATGATTGCCGTCAAATACCTGTATTAAAAAAGACGTTATTATCTCTGTGTAGGTAATGAAAATTTTCTTTTACTACAATCCTGTACAGTGAATAGTTTTTATATATTTAGCTACTTCTTCAGCTTTATTCCAAGATTGATCAGCGATTTTCACGTTCACAAAATCAAATAACCCTCTTTCTGGCGCAGTCGGGTAAAAATCCAAACCATTCTTTGCTAACAAACTTTAAAGTTTAAAAAAATATCTTGAAGAAATAACTCAAATAATTGACTTTGACACCACAGCGGAATCCGAGCACAAAGTACGTAAGGCGTCCTCCATCAACGAGCGCGACGTGAAGACCGCCCACCACCAGTCCAAACAGAAGCTGGCTTCTTGGCTGGCCAGGGCCGAGGGGCTGGCTCAGCATCATGCTGTAGTTGTCAACGAGACATCTCCGAGCTTCGCGCACCACATGGTAAGAAGCACACAAATACAGGAGATACCACAACAGACTCCTAGCACAAAGCACGCAAGGCAACCTCCATCCGGCGTGAAGACTGCTCATCACCAGTCTAAGCAGAAGCTGACTTCTTGGTTAGTCAGGCCCGAGGGGCTGCTGGCTCGCCACGGGGATATAGTAGTCAACGAGACCTCTCCGAGCTTCGCGCACCACATGGTAAGAAGGACACAAATTATAGAGAAGATACCACAACAAAATTCGAGCAGAGAGCACGCAAGGCTACCTCGTTAATACGCTCGTTAATGGAGGTCCATTAACGAGCTCGATGTGAAGACTGCCCACCAACAGTGCAAGCAGTACCTCTAGCATGAACAACTTTCGTCTTCGAATCGTTTGCGTATTCGATAATATTCGATACTCAATCTTCGAATTAAACGATAACGTGACAATTTTGATTCTCAAAATAAGTTTCGTCCAACCACATCTCATACCTACTAAGTTCACTTTACGACACGTTCACAAGGGCGCTGTTGTAGTTTTCTTACTAAATCTTTTGATGGCGATTCGAGTACGCAAACTATTTTATTTGAACTCGAAAGTTTTTCGTGCTAGCCGTACAGAATCGGGCCGCTTGGCTCGCGACAGCTGAGGGTTTGGTTTAGCATCATGCTGTGGTGGTCAACGAGACCTCTTCGAGTTTTGCGCACCACATGGTAAGAAGGACACAAATAATAATAATACTTAGTGCCTATCCTCTTCTTAAATTAGCCTGCTTGTAGTTTTTATCTTTTTACGATTTTTAGGGTTCCGTAGCCAAAATGGCAAAAACGGAACCCTTATAGTTTCGTCATGTCCGTCTGTCCGTCTGTCCGTCTGTCCGTCTGTCCGTCTGTCCGTCTGTCACAGCCGATTTACTCGGAAACTATAAGTACTACAGTGATGAAATTTGATGGGAATATGTGTTGTATGAACCGCTACAAAATTATGACACTAAATAGTAAAAAAAAGAATTGGGGGTGGGGCCCCCCATACATGTAACTGAGGGATGAAAATTTTTTTTTCGATGTACATACCCGTGTGGGGTATCAATGGAAAGGTCTTTTAAAATGATATAAAGTTTTCTAAAAAACATTTTTCTTAAAGTGAACGGTTTTTGAGATATCAGCTCTCAAAGTCGTAAAAAGTATGTCCCCCCCCCTCTATTTTTATAACTACGGGGTATAAAATTCTAAAAAAAATAGAGGTGATGCATGCTAATTAACTCTTTCAACGATTTTTGGTTTGATCAAAGTATCTCTTATAGTTTTTGAGATAGGTTGATTTAACTGTAATTTTGGTTATATTTGCTGCTACGGAACCCTTTGTGCGCGAGCCCGACTCGCACTTGGCCGGTTTTGTTTTAATAGGATTTAAAGTATCATCTACTATCTCTTGATAAGAAAATACATGTTTAGATTTTAATTGCATTAAGCCAAGCTATCAAAGTCGCCTCTGTTTTTTGCGTCAATTTTGAAAACAATTTACTTATTCTAAAATGATCCACAGTATATCTACACTGGAGCCATTACGACAAAGGCGACGCGTATCGAGCAATAATCCATTGTCTGACTCCTCATATCACTAGGGCATTGTTCCTATATTTGAAGCAATGATTGGTGTCATATTCATTCCTATCTCTTCATCTCCAGTCAGTGATGACGTACGACAAGCGAGCAGACAAACTGGGTCGCGGTGGGCTTCTGAACCTCTTCGCTGCGCAGGAGTTGAAGGCGCGCCAGGCGCTGTCCGATGATGAACTGGCGCTGGGATTCACTGAGCATACTGATGGTAATTAAGACTTTATTCTAGAATAATTAACCTGTGATCATCTTGCCACTACTTCAATTTCAATGAAATATGAATTTTAAGTAAGTAAATTAGTAAAGCCTTATCTAAAATATAGTTAATTTTATTATTATTTTGATAAGTAATGCAAATGTTTAATATTTTTGATGTTGTGCAGTGTGTTAAATTTTCCATTTGTTGATGTTACTTTGGTTCTTGGTCGGATTTCCTGATTTCTGAACGTATATAGGGAAAATCCGAGCATAACACGCTCCATGTCATTTGGATGTGAGCAACACGTATTCTTGAGTCAATTAAAACTTGCTGCCTACTTGATAAACCCTTATAATGAAAAGTAAATCTCCTTCAGGTCCATTCTGCCCACCACCCCCCACGTGCTCCAATCCACCCAGCCGTTACCGCAGCATCGGGGGGGATTGCAACAACCCTAAAAACCCAAGCTGGGGGGCCGTGCACTCAGGGTATGAGAGGCTGCTGCCTCCAGACTACAGTGACGGTAAGTTTTAGATATTAGTTTTGGAAAATGTGTGTGGTGCGTGAGAAAAAAATCAGTCGTTTGAATTATTCCTATCCTCATCCAGCACACCTCTGGAGAAGAAGACAAAGAAGAAGCATTTATGCCTACCAAATATGCGATACGCGAGCTTGCCAAATATGTGAGAGATATCAGGCAGAGTATTTTAAGTGGCATTAAAAGACCATGTTCACACCATGCAGTTTCGTCTCTAAGCTTTAGATTAGGCCATTCTGCTTCATTTTTATCTTACCAGACATCTTCTCAGCTTGATATAAAAGTCGTTTTATAAAGTGCAATGCAATGGCAATTGTTTCAAGCCTGCTGGTAATTCAGAATTAATTAAATCCTATAGGAACCTGGGCCATGCGCGCGTCTTCCACCGGCCTCCCGCTGCCCAGCCCGCGACTAGTCAGCAACGCTTTGATCCTGGACGCTCCCCACCCGAGTCCAACACACAACTTGATGTTCATGCAGTTCGGACAGTTCATTGCACATGACACCACCTCTGGAGTCGTCTTCACTATCGGTAAGCTTTATAACTGCTTCTGAAGATGAATCCCATAGGAACCTGGGCCATACCGTCTGAAACGCCGTAATCCTGGACTTTCCTCACCCGATCCCTCCATACAACCGCAGTTTAGACTTTATATCTCACACGCCACCACGTCTGGAGTCGTCTTCACAATAGGTAAGCTCTGTAACTGCTTCTAATGATGAATCCCATAGGAACCTGGGCCGACCGTCTGAAACGCCATGGTCCTGGACGCTCCCGACCCGATCCCGACACACAACTTGATGTTCATGCAGTTCGGACAGTTCATCGCACACGACACCACATCTGGAGTCGTCTTCACTATTGGTAAGTTTTACAACCGCCTCAGAACAAAATCCCACAGGAACCTGGGCCGTACCGTGTGACACGCCCTGATCATGGACTCTCCTCACCCGATCCCTCCATACAACCGCAGTTCGGACTGTACATATAATATATCTCACATGCCACCACGTCTGGAGTCATTTTCAATATCTGTAAGCTCTACAGCTACTTTTGACCATGGAATCAAAAATATTTATTCAGTTTAGACCACAAGTGGCACTTATGAACGTCAAAATATAGTAAACTAGCTTTCCGACCGCGGCTTCGCCCGCGTGGAATTTTGTCGGTCACAGAAAAACATTATCGCGCGCGTCCCTGTTTCAAAAACCGGGATGAAAACTATCCTATGTCCTATCCTGGGACTCAAACTATCTCTATGCCAAATTTCATCAAAATCGGTTAAGTGGTTTAGGCGTGAAAGAGAGACAGACAGACACAGAGTTACTTTCGCATTTATAATATTAGTATAGATAATAAAAAAGAAAAGGTAGCCTTTATGGGACACTTTACATGTCTCCTTATCTTTTGGGCCCTACCAGCGCTTCGAGACAATCCAAATCAAATCCCATAGAAACCTGCGCCTCTTCCACCGTCGGCAATGCCCTGATTTTGGACGTCCTCCATCCGAGGCCCGAGCCCTACACACGACTTGATGTTCATGACGGACAGTTCGCAAATGACACCACCTCTGGAGTCGTCTTTACTATTGGTAAGCTCAAAGGCAGTTCCTTTGAATATGAAACCCCACAGGAACAAGGCTCAAGCTTTTAAATAGCATGCAGGCTAAAAGCTTCCCCATTGTGGTTAAAATTAAACAAGCTCTTTTGAGCAAGGCAGCAAATAATAGCTAGCCATGATTTCCTGTCATATCTTCATTAAGCTCTTAATTTATAATTTAAAACACATTTTATTTTAGAGCTTTGAATTTTTTTCCAAATGAAGCATCAAAGGATCATTGATATCTTCTTACAAAATAGTCTTCAATGTTGGCAAATAATAAAATTTCCCTCATAATTTACAACTAAAGGCTGGTAACGACGTCCCATGTTTCTAAGTACCGTAATTATATGGAAATTAAGACCTATCGTAAATTCGACTTACAGCTGCAATTTTCTGATGAAACGTTTGTGGTTAACTGGCATGCTTTACTACGCGAGATAGATTATAAAACCGTTTGCTTGTACATCTAATCGCTTATAAGTATGATTTAATAATCGCCTTGTGAAATAGCAGAGGCAGAAATTCTAACTGCCAGGAGAAAACAAAAATACCTACTTGAAATAATTTCCAAGAAAAGTCTACAAGTTGCAAATTACACAAGGAAATCGTATGATCGAGATTAATGGGCCCAGTTTGAGACATCGGCTCAATAACTCGTTGGTAAGTTATGTAAATTCGAAAGTAGGAAATCTTTGCACTTACACACTTTCTTGTACTGCATCTTTAAATAGCACATTAACTATTAAAACTCGTTGAACCGTTCATGTTGATTCATATTTTGTGAAACACCAATAATGTCCATGGAATCAGTGTCTGGCATTACAAGGCGTAATTTATTTCTAAATGGGCCTGATCACTCTACTAGTTACTTGATCTTGCACAATCAGCAACTCTAAAGCCTGGTCCGTGAGCACGTAGAATTTTGTCCAATGACCCCAAGCTACCAATCCTTATCGCTCACGCGTAATTATGTTGCTGTGGCGCTCGCACACTCACTGCGGGCGCCCGTCGGACAGTCGCGACAGCAATATAATTACGCGCGAGCGATAAGGATGGGTAGCTTGGGGTCATTGGACAAAATTCTACGTGCTCACGGACCAGGCTTTAGGATTACTCACACTCCGTTCTTCCTAGTATTAGCAGTAGTCAGCAGGGTTACGTTTAAGTAGAACTGAGTAAATATACATTGATGCGTGAGTTTCGATCACAAAAAGCCTAGGCGCAGACCACCGACTTTTAGTTGGCCGATAGTTGGGTCAGGCTATTAATCAGTATAGACATGGTATGAAAGTGCGCACACTACACCGATTTGGTATCGGCCGATTCCTCATACAAATTAAAAATTGGGTCCAACTATCGGCCGACTAAAAATAGATGGTCTGCGCCTAGGCAAAGACTTTTTTATCGCGTGCATCCCCCTTAAAAATAGCTATAAAAACTTTCTTATATTTTACCGTACCTAGNGTACCTAGTTCTCAAACAAGCCTCTCTCAGGTGGTTAGCATTGAAATGTTAAGGCTGAGTTGCACCACCTTATTTTAACCGTAACAATGACAATAACCGTTGCTTTTGGTATGGAGTTTGACAGATTTTTGACGTTTATCAAAGTTAAAGTAAGATGGTGCAATCCACCCTTAGTGTTTGCCATATACTTCTCGTCACCAGGCAACGGCAGCGCCATCTCCTGCTGCTCCGGCGACGGCGAGCAGTTCCTCCCGCCGGAGCTTCAGCACTGGGCCTGCGCGCCCATCGCCGCCGCTCCCGAAGACGACTTCTACGGCCAGTTCCGACACCAGTGCCTGAACATGGTCCGAACGCAATTGGCGCCGTCGAGCGACTGCTCCGTTGGTTATGCTAAGCAGGTGGGGCTAGAATTTTAGCTGATGTTTTGCTCTCAGGAAATTCTAGATGCAGTGCAGTCTTTAAGTGAACTTGATAGGTATTGATTTTGTCCTAGTGATTGTAGATGACATACGATAAGAATAACAGAGGTTTCAAAGCCTCTCTTGTCTTATGAAATCACCAAGTTAGCTGTTAAATTATTACTTCTTATTATAGTAAATCTTTTAGTAGAAAAACCCCTAAACAATGTTCTCGCTATTTTAAATAAAAAAGTACTTCTTCAAACAGAAAAGATTCCTGATGCGTAAAACATGTTAAGCTGTTGTTGGGTCAATTCAATATCTATGGGGGCTCATGAAAATTGACATAAAGGTGGGTGTGGGATCAAAAGCGACTTGTGTTTTCCACAGATGAATGGCGTCACCCACTTTCCCGACTTGTCGCACATATACGGGAGCTCTGATGAGAGGCTGGCGATACTCCGCGGCTCTGGAGGGCTCCTGAAGACGTTCAATGACTATGGTCGGGAGTTACCTCCGCTGACTGAGAGGAAGGAGTGCCTCACACTGAAGGAGGGAGCGGCTTGCTTTGAGTCTGGTTAGTACGAATGTAATGTGGTTGTAGAACTATACAAGTATACATAGATAATTAATTAGATTTTACACGTTTCACATTTTAAGATAATTAATTTAAGGTAATTTACGTTACGGCGATTGTATATGAGGACAAATTTTGCCTATTTCCCAGGGGACAACCACGGCAACCAGATCATATCGCTCACGGTTCTACATACCCTCTGGACACGTGAGCACAATAGGATAGCTCGAGCGCTTGCCCGCCTCAACCCCATGTGGGATGAAGAACGCATCTTCATGGAAGCCAGAAGAATCGCGCAGGCAGAGTTCCAGAACATCATCTATAGCGAATGGCTGCCTTTACTGTTAGGTGAGTCTGTTAGGGCCCTGGATAGTCTCCTCCAGTATAGGAAAATGACCTCTTTGCCAGAAGCAAATGGAGGATGCTGGCCAGACGACTTGGGGAGGCTGGATGTTCGCAGAATCTGCACTTTATTCGATTGTTCATCTTACTGACTATACAGAAGGTGCAGTGGTTTCTTTCCAAGGTTGTCAGTTATCTTTATTGGATTCACTGCTCTCGATTTTAGTTTGGTGTTTTTCATAAAAGACGCAATATTCAATTTTTTATAACTCCTTTCTTACCAGGTCCTCAAGCAGTCCAAGCGTTTGGTCTGCTCCCGTCTCCAGGCTACTCCTCATTGTACGACCCTCACGTGAACCCAGCGCTATCGGCTGAATTCGCTACTGCTGCTATGAGGTTCGGCCATTCCGTCGTCGATGGGAAGATCATGTGAGTTTCATCCTTCTTCTATAGCGTCTACACAGGTGTACCTTAGTTTGTCAGTTAGGTGCTGTTTAATTGTTCTTTTGCACAACACTCTCCTGAAACAAAGTATCAGATTTTTGAATAGGCTAGTTGCCTAAAAAAATTTTTTTAGTCCGTAATGTTTAATATCAAAAAATATTGGACACATATATTTTTATTTGTAAATCTAACAAATAATTACATAGTTATGGTGCGTTGAAGTTGCGCACGACGTCACAACGTGCGGCATTTTTAAGCAAGCGTTGACGTCACGGGCCTCTTCTTATGAACTTTGGGGCGCTTTATCTCTTTAAATTTTCATTAGTTTGAAAAAGTGAAAAATACGTGTAGAGTATTTTTTGATAAGTTAAAGGACGGACTAATTAAAACTCTTGCTTTTTGACCCAGGCAACATCCCCATTGTTAAAGAAGATTTATCATTATTACCTACTTCTTTAAGGCCTATTTCTGAGTATTAATTTCCAAAACAATTAGGGCAGTATGGGCTGAAATTTTATCATCTTTAGAACCGCTATTTACTGCAGTCTATTTTAAATTTTAGCCTATTTTGCATTGTGAATTACCACCACTATTCGGCCATTGTAAAAATGTTCAGCACTGGACGTCCTATGGCTGAAATGATGATGATGATGCTTTTTTTTGTATTTGATGATGATTTTGAATTACATTTCTCAGGATTCCTAGCACCAGCACAGGAACCATCTACGAATCGATCTCGATCCCCGAGGTGATGTTTCAGCCGGCACGCATGCGTCTGAAGCCGTTCTTCGACCGCCTTATAGCTGGTCTGAGCTGGCAGCCCATGCAGTCCGTGGACCCATTTGTTACTGAAGGAGTAAGTGGTTCTTTTATTAAGGATAATAATCTTCTTAGGACTTTTGTCAAAACAGTCACCAAAGCATAGAATTTTTGTTTTTAGTCAGTCAGCATCTCTTGTCATCTAAGCTCACCGTATGGTCACTTGTTAACTTGATCTTGAACTTGAACTTGGTCTTTGCTTATGGAGAAGGTGATCCAATTTATATTTTGAGATTTCAATGTTGGTCCCAAAACTCTCAAACAAAACAATATTGTATTTGACCACCCGAATTAATCCTTTCTTATCTTACGCTTGTTTTACAAAGTGAGAGAGAAATAAGTTGGTTCGTGAGATTGCACAGCATACATACTCTATACCAGTCTTTCCCAAAGTGGGCGATAACGCCCCCTTGTGGGCGCTGCAGGCTTAAAGGGGGGCGGTAAGAGACCCAGAAAAAAAATCAGGACGTTGTGTAGAGGCTTGGGAGGCGTCATTTACTAGGAGGTCTCTTAGACACCGACTGAGCACTCGACTCTCGGCTACAAATGGGGGCGCTAAAAAGAATTTATTCTCAAAGTGGGCAGTAGACAAAACAAGTTTGGGAACCGCTGCTCTATACCATACCATTTTGAAAGTCCTCTACCACAAAAAAAATATTTCCCCAGTTAACCCGTTACCTGTTCCACGGCGGCAACCCGTTCGGGCTGGACCTGGCGTCCATCAACATCCAACGCGGGCGCGACTACGGCGTGCGGCCCTACAACGCCTACCGAAGACTCGTGGGCTTGGAGCCTATTGTGGACTTCAACCAGTTCACGCCCAACGTAAGACAATGAGGGCTATCGTTTTAGCGCTCACCAGTTAGCGCCACTGTAGAGTAAGGTCCTGTCACTTGCTAGTAGCGAAGACAGTGGCGCCAACTTGTGAGCGCTAAAGTGGTAGGAGGACTATCGCATTTGCACTCATTAAGATGGCGCAACTGTAGAGTAAGGTCCTGTCAATCGCCAGGGGTGCCAACTGTTAAGTATAAAAACGATAGCCCTCATTNATTAGACATTATCCTAGCTGCATCGCCTTCCAAATAGGATAAAAGATAATGAAATTTTTGAATATTTTGTAATCGATCGTTTTTATGAATCAAGCTTTCGAACGTGTCTCGAAATTCAAGCCATTTAAAATATGCACCGTCAAACTTGGCAATCTGTATCTGAGGTAGCTTAATACCAAAATCATGATGACCGGAGGAGCATTGAGTGTCGTTAGCAGTGACAGAATTACGCCTACAATCTTTAGCTATTTGAGCTTGGCGCTCAATGAGCCCCTTTGCAGTGGCCATGTTTGTAATAATGCCGCTCTCAATGCTTTCCCGCTCATTTAATTCCAAAGACAAGTTTTCAGAATTTAAAACCTCGATCTCACTTTGCAAATCATCAAATTTTGTCGATAATGACTCACATTTTGCGATTCTAAGACTCAATTCGGATATTTCCAAACTAGTTAATGACTCTTTAGTGCTAATTTGTAGCAAGAAATTTTTAAATTTAGTTATTTGGCCTTTGATTGAGCTACGTTTAATATACAATTCCTTTAAGCTGGCCATATTTACTTATTATTGTGAGATTCGCGAAGTGAAATTACTCCAATTAAAATAAAAAGTATGTAATGAAAAATGATAAGCTCACGTTCCTCGCTTTGACTGCAAACCAGGAAACCGGTCGCGACAGCACAGCAGCCGGTGGTACTCGGATACTTCGACAATGCAGGTGGAATACAGCTGTGCCGCGCAGCGAAGTAACCCTGGAATGTTCAGCGAAATGCGTGAAAATAGGCACTAATTACTGATATTGCAAGACTTAGCTGTCTCTTAAAAACAGTTATTAAACACTGGAAATTAATGCACTTTGTATTGCAAATATTGGAATGAAATATTAAAATGTGAAATATTCACTCGAAAAGGTTTACTATTGTCAAAAAAATATAATAATCTTTAGGAAATGTATGTTAGAATGTGGATTGAAACTGGATTGACGATATTTGTCGATATTGAACGAGAAATTGTATTGGAATGTTATAGATTGGAAGTTGCGGATGGGGCACTTAGCTATCTGATCTGCGCTGCGGTGTGATGCTCCTGTGACGTCACTGGCCCGGCCAGACGATGCTCGTTACCTCCATAGATCCTTGGACAACCTCAGACTTCTTGTGGAAATTCCCTTTGCATACTAGTTAGTTAGCATGATGATGAAATTCGACCGTTGAACAAATTCCTTTCGTCGGATTTTTCTTGATATTTTGATGAAATTACTTGATGTCTCGATTTTTCCCCTCATGGGCCACCAAATTATGTTTCGTAGAACATGGTGCCATTTAATTAAAACACTTTCTTTTACGGTTTTACAAATATATTGAAAATCATGACAGTTCAGTACGATGACAAAAGCAAGAGAGAGAAACAAAAGAAGTCCTAAATAATTAAAAAATAAAACGCCGCGCCGCGCACAGATTGGAGCAAGGAGGCTGAACGCCTCAACAGTAAGTACATAATGTATTTTAAAGTACCTACCCAGATATTTTGTTACAAAATGCTAACTAAAATCTTTAACGTTGTTTATGTACTTAGGTAACAATTTGCTTTTGTGTCACTATGACATATAAACTTTTATTTCATGTTACCTAGTACACATTATTTTGAATGACATAGCATAATAATTATAACTTTTATTAGTTTTTGGCTTAATTTTTATAACTTAAGGCAGATATTCCTATTAGTTATTTAGGCATTATACTGCAGTGTATCTTCATGTTTGGTACTTAATGTCATAATGTTATTACTGGCTAGTGAGTTGTTTGTGGGTACACTTGCTAACTTGTTAATTTTTATACGGGAATAACTTAATTGTTTATTATTATGGTTTTGATAACAATTAAAAGTTATTAATTTTAGTAAAGTGCCATTCTTCTTGTATAGCTTTGGTGTAGTTTAATAATTAATATTAATAATTTTCATATAACTTTTGGAAAATATTTTTGCCACATAGTTTTTTTTTCAAAAATGGTTTTATTATGCTACCTTCTTTTAATGGAAGTTTTTTTTTTTTTTTGAAATTATAGTTATGCCAAGGTTCTCAGTCGTAGGACTTAGGATTTTCTTTGTTCTGGGTAGGTAGGTTCTTTACTTTAGTAACTAACTTATGAGTTTAGTTTTTAGAATTTTTTTTTGACACAATCGTATTGTGTATTGTTTTTCTGTTGGGAATTTAATAGATTCTTTTATAGCAAAAATTTTTTTTTGGACACAATCGAGTTGTTGGGTATCTGCTACAGTTTTGCCTCGGTGCTTTATCTGTAACNAAGGTTTTGAATATAAAGATGACTTCTACAGCCAGTTCCGTCACCAGTGCCTGTACATGGTCCGAACGCAATTGGCGCCGTCGAGCGACTGCTCCGTTGGTTATGCTAAGCAGGTGGGGCTGGAATTTAAGCTGATGTTTTGCTCTCAGATTCTGAAATGATGATGATATTAAAGTCGACTTCTAAGGACAGTTCCGCTACTAGCAGTGCCTGAACATGGTCCGCACGCAGCTAGCGTCAGCTAGCGACTGCTCCGTTGGTTATGCTAAGCAGGTGGGTAGAATTCTAGATGCAGTGCTATGAGGTCTTTAAGTGATGATGGTAGGCTTTCATCTAAAAGACGACTTCTACGGCCAGTTCTGTCACCAGTGCCTGAACATGGTCCGAACGCAATTGGCGCCGTCGAGCGACTGCTCCGTTGGTTACGCTAAGCAGGTGGGGCTAGAATTTTAGCTGATGTTTTGCTCTCAGGAAATTCTAGATGCAGTGCAGTCTTTAAGTGATCTTGATAGGCATTGATTTTGTCCTAGTGATTGTAGATGACATACGATAAGAATAACAGAGGTTTCAAAGTCTCTCAATAAACTTGTCTTATTAAATCACCAAGTTAGCTATTAAATTATTAGTTTTTACTTATAGTAAATCTTTTAGTAGAAAAACCCCTGAATAATGATCTCGCTATCTATATATAGTTAGGGGAGACTGGGGCTGGTTTTAACAGGGGTAAATACTAACAGCGTAATTACATAGAACCTATTCGACTTACCACGCTAATTCCAACGCACTTTGTGCCTACGAATAAGCGCGAACGTGTCTCGACCTGTCAGTTGCCGGCCAAGCGTCACGGGAGCAGGTTGCGTCAGACGCCTCCAATTTCACAGGAAAATGAACTTTTTTACGTGTTTAATTTTTTGCATTACTCTTTAAATATGTATCGTAGAAAATTGGCTTTGGTATTGCATAAATCCGAATTTATTGTATTTTTCATTAATTTCAAAGTTTTAATCGAAAATATAACCGGTAAAAGAAAAACAATAATTTTGTGCAAAATGAGGTCGTGGGGTTGGTTTTAACAAAATGCACGGGGTAGGTTCTAACGCGTTAATATTTGCCTCGAACATTGAGTAAGACTGACTTTTATAACCAAAGTTGTATGTTGATTTATTAGAGGAGTATTTTTTTTGTTATTTTATTTGATAAAGATAGATTTAGTAAGTTTTAAGTTTATTACACATGTTTAAACGGTAAGGAGCCGAATTTCAATGATCATTTGATGATCAAAAATTATTTTTTGTTCTTTGATTTGAGTAACGCTGATTGAGTGAGTCAGTTTATTTAACTAATAAAATTTAAGTTTTCTGTTTATTTTATGAACGGTAAGGAAGCGCATTTAATTTTATTAGTGTTTCTAATAAACATTGATTATTATTTTGTTGGTTATCTTAGCCAAAATCCCATTCCCAACTATAAATCATTTCTTACCCCCGCTGTTAAAACTTTCCCCAGCGATGTTAAAACCAACCCCAAACCGGGGGTAAGATCTAACAAGTGACTTGTTTGGCAAAACTCGATTTTTCTCAGATATGGTAATTATTATATACATTTTGTTGTACTTTACGTAAAGCTCATTAAATTTGACATCACGTACCAAAAAACCATGTTTCTTGCTAAAGCAGTTTAGAAAATATTACGCTCAAATCAAAATTTGTTAGGACCAGCCCCAGTCTCCCCTATATAAAAGAAAGTCGTGTTAGTTACTTCACTTATAACTCAAGAACGGCTGAACCGATTTAGCTGAAAATTGTCAGGGAGATAGTTTAGAGCCAGGAGAAGGACATAGGATACTTTTTATCCCGTTCGAAATAAAAAAAGTCTGCTTATTTATTGCCATTAAGGCGCAACAAAGTTCGCCGGGTCAGCTAGTTTTAAATAAAAAAGTACATGGACTTCTTCAAACAGAAAAGTTTCCTGATGCGGAAAACATGTTAAGCTGTTGGGTCAATCTATGGGGGGCTGATGAAAATTGACATAAAGGTGGGTGTGGGATCAAAAGCGACTTGTGGTTTCCACAGATGAATGGCGTCACCCACTTTCCCGACTTGTCGCACATATACGGGAGCTCTGATGAGAGGCTGGCGATACTCCGCGGCTCTGGAGGGCTCCTGAAGACGTTCAATGACTATGGTCGAGAGTTACCTCCGTTGACCGAGAGGAAAGAGTGCCTCACGCTGAAGGAGGGAGCGGCTTGCTTCGAGTCTGGTAAGTATGTGTTGGTGGAAGAAATGTGATTGTGCCTTTGGTTATATTGGAAACAAAAAAAATGCATAGGTAGTTTATGTATTAAAATCTTGGACGAATACATACAAAAATGTATTTAGTAATATAGTAGGTAATTCATGAAGGTTTTAAATTATTGTGCTTACGTGAATATTAAACCTTTTATTAAACAGTTTAAGCCGTTTTTGAAAGTGTCTAATACTAATTATTTTCTCAATCTACGAGTATACCAAAAGTGAATCCAAAAGTTTTCTACGTCTATTGAACGACTTACCTACGTATGCTTATATCATAATCCATTTTTTAACATTGCGGCATCTTTTGTAGGTAAATGTAAGAATTTGACTGCAGTAAAATGTTTATCAGGGTAAATCTTTCTCCATTTCCCCAGGCGACAACCACGGCAACCAGATCATATCGCTCACGGTTCTACATACCCTCTGGACCCGGGAGCACAACAGGATAGCTCGAGCGCTTGCCCGCCTCAACCCCATGTGGGATGAAGAACGCATCTTCATGGAAGCCAGAAGAATCGCGCAGGCAGAGTTCCAGAACATCATCTATAGCGAATGGCTGCCTTTACTGTTAGGTAAGAATTGCTTAACAGTCCCTTTTTCCCAGGTAATACGGCAGCGGTTCCCAAACTTATTTAGTCTACTGCCCACTTTGAGAATAAATTATTTTTTAGCGCCCTCTATTTTTGTAGTCAAGAGTCGAGCTCAGTCGATGTCTAAGAGTCCTCCTAGTAGATGACGCCTCCCAAGCTTCTACACAACGTCCCGTTTTTTTTTCTGGGTTTCTTACCACCCCCCTTTAATCCTGCAGCGCCCACAAGGGGGCGTTATCGCCCACTTTGGGAAAGACTGTAATACGGCAACCAGATCATATCACTCACAGTTATAGATAGGCTAGATTTTCGCAGAATCTGCACCATATTCGCTTGATCTTCTAACTGACTATACAGAAGGTGCAGTGGTTACTTTCCAAGGTTGTCAGTTATCTTTATTGGATTCACTGCTCTCGATTTTAGTTTGGTGTTTTTCATAAAAGATTCAATATTCAATTTTGTTTATAACTACTTTCTTCTTACCAGGTCCTCAAGCAGTCCAAGCGTTTGGTCTGCTCCCGTCTCCAGGCTACTCCTCATTGTACGACCCTCACGTGAACCCAGCGCTATCGGCTGAATTCGCTACTGCTGCCATGAGGTTCGGCCATTCCGTCGTCGATGGGAAGATTATGTGAGTATCCTTCTTCTATTGCGTCTACACAGGTGTACCTTAGTTTGTCAGTTAGGTGCTGTTTAATTGTTCTTTTGCACAACACGCCCTTGAAACAAAGTATCAGATTTTTGAATTGTTAAAGAAGATTTATCATTATTACCTACTTCTTTAAGGCCTATTTCTGAGTATTAATTTCCAAAACAATTAGGGCAGTATGGGCTGAAATTTTATCATCTTTAGAACCGCTATTTACTGCATTCCAATTAGCCTATTTTGAATTGTGAATTACCACCACCAACCGGCCATTGTAGAAATGTTCAGCAGTCGACGTCCTATAGCTGAAATGATGATGATGATGATGATTTTGAATTAAATTTCTCAGGATTCCTAGCACCAGCACAGGCACCATCTACGAATCGATCTCGATCCCCGAGGTGATGTTCCAACCTGCCCGCATGCGTCTGAAGCCGTTCTTTGACCGCCTCATAGCTGGTCTGAGCTGGCAGCCCATGCAGTCCGTGGACCCATTTGTTACTGAAGGAGTAAGTGGTTCTTTTATTAAGGATAATTTATCTTCTTAGGAGTTTTGTTACTACAGTTAATTTCCAAAGTAGAGAATAGTATTTTTTTAGCCAATTAGCATCTCTTGTCATCTAAGTTCACGATGTGGTTACTTGTTAACTTGATGACATTGCTGTTACCTTTGCCTATGGAGAAGTGATTCAATTTATATTTTGAGATTTCAATGTTGGTCCCAAAACTCTCAAACAAAACAATATTGTATTTGACCACTCGAATTAATCCTTTCGTATCTTACGCTTGTTTTACAAAGTGAGAGAGAAATAAGTTGGTTCGTGAGATTGCACAGCATATACATACTCTATACCAGTCTTTCCCAAAGTGGGCGATAACGCCCCCTTGTGGGCGCTGCAGGTTTAAAGGGGGGCGGTAAGAGACCCAGAAAAAAATCAGGACGTTGTGTAGAGGCTTGGGAGGCNAAAGGGGGGCGGTAAGAGACCCAGAAAAAAAATCAGGACGTTGTGTAGAGGCTTGGGAGGCGTCATTTACTAGGAGGTCTCTTAGACACCGACTGAGCACTCGACTCTCGGCTACAAATGGGGGCGCTAAAAAGAATTTATTCTCAAAGTGGGCAGTAGACAAAACAAGTTTGGGAACCGCTGCTCTATACCATACCATTTTGAAAGTCCTCTACCACAAAAAAAATATTTCCCCAGTTAACCCGTTACCTGTTCCACGGCGGCAACCCGTTCGGGCTGGACCTGGCGTCCATCAACATCCAACGCGGGCGCGACTACGGCGTGCGGCCCTACAACGCCTACCGACGGCTCGTGGGCCTGGACCCCATTGTGGACTTCAACCAGTTCACGCCCAATGTAAGATAATTACTTAATGTCCCACTTAGTGGACCGACAATGTAGTAAAGTTCGCATGCAGCGCAGGACCGGTGTTTTGTGGAAATTTTTGGATGAGATTTCCCTGAACAAGAGAAGAAACTTTTTAGCTAGATGCTGAGGGGAAGGCGTGTGTTGTATACCGTCCACACTCAATATAGGCACGCCTCGCACTCGGTGGACTGACGATCTAGTAAAGGTCGCGGGCAGCGCAGGACCGATCGTTGAAGAAATCCTTAGAGGAGGCCTTGTGGGCTCCAACCAGTTCACGCCCAACGTAAGACAATTGCCCAGTATTTATATTTTTCCTTGAACTAGAGGAGGAACCCTTTAGCTAGATGCTGTGGGGAAGGCATGTGTTGTATACCGTCCATCAACATCCAGCGCGGGCGCGACTACGGCGTGCGGCCCTACAACGCCTACCGAAGACTCGTGGGTCTAGACCCTATTGTGGACTTCAACCAGTTCACGCCCAATGTAAGATAATTATTTAATATAATTATCTTACATTGGGCGTGAACTTCTTACTTAGTGGACCGACGATCTAGCAATAGTCACGGGCAGCACAGGACCAGTCGTTGTGGAAATATTTGGAGAAGGCCTTCATCAGTTCACATTCAACGACATTTGAAGAGCATTCGACGATCTAGTAAAGGTCGCAGGCAGCACAGGACCGATCGTTGAAGAAATCCTTGGAGGCCTTGTGGGCTTCAACCATCACGCAGGACGTAAGCCTCTAAGTATTTAGAAGGTATTGAACAGGACCGGTCACACAGGACTTTTGGCGTTTCAGCACTCTTTTGGTAATAACTTTCTTATCCTTAGAGTAATCATCTTTAGACGCATTAATAAATAGCAAGTGGTATTTAGATGACCCTTGTTATCTGGCCCATCTGACCTCTTCTCTTGTTCTATCAACGAAGGGAGTGCTGATTCTGGTATACTGATGCAAGTATTATGCAAAGTTGATTCTATACGACTTTCGTCCTTTCTTCTTTATTTGATTTTCTGGTATTTTGGTACAGTTGCACGCGCGATAACATTTGCTCCTCATGGTTCCAGACTGCCCAACGTCTAGGATCAGTCTACCAAAGCCCCGATGACATCGATCTGTGGGTAGGCGGTCTTCTAGAAGAAGCCGTCGGCGGCGGAGTGGTGGGTGTCACCTTCTCGAACATCCTGGCCGACCAGTTCTCAAAGATCAAGAGAGGGGACAGGTACTTCTACGAAAACGGACCTGATGTCAACCCTGGGGCTTTTAGTCCATGTAAGTTCTGCATATTGTTGAGATCATAGCTATAGTCTGGTCTGTGAGCACGTAGAATTTTGTCCAATGACCTCAAGTTACCCATCCTTATCGCTCGCGCGTAATTATGTTGCTGTCGCGCTCGCACACTCACTGCGGGCGCCCGTCGCATAGTCACTTTGGACAAAATTCTACGTGCTCACAGACCGGGTTTTATTTTCTGATACTTTGGTCTCATGATTAATACTCATCATGATTTAACTGCATCTAAAAATGTATTTTCTTTTTGTAAACTCTTTTGGCAAAAGTGAAGTTTGATTTAACTCTGTGTGTTATAAAAAGTTGTTTGTTTTCCTAACATAAAATAAAAATAAAATGATTGAAACTCCTTTAGAGAAAAAGTTACTTATAAAATGGTTCCTTTCTTCAAAATCTATGAGGGAATCTGACTTGGAAAAGTATGTCTGGTTGTTTCTACTTATTTTCTTCTCTTTTCTTTATTTTTGTTATGTTGTGAGTTGTAACGTTCACTGGGCGCCACGCGTCCCTCTCTCATGGTGTCTGTAGATACCAATTTGGTACAACAATTTTATTATTTTTGCTCTTTATGTTAATTTGTATCATTCTATTTTAGTACCAATTAAATATTTTTTCTCTCTTTCTTAAATTAAGTTGATCTGTTTCAGACCAACTGGCAGAGATAAAGAAGGTGACTCTGGCGAGGATCATTTGTGATAACCGCGACGGCATCGAACTCCTCGCGCAACCACCGAATGCCTTCATCAGAGCCGATCTTCCAGGGTAAGTACATACGGCTTTGATAAAAAGAAATCGCACAAACATTATAATAACTTGATGCTAGCGATCGGAATTTAAGAGATGAACGTTTTTTAACTTTTAGTTTAACAAAGACGATTATATTTTCATAATTAATTCAATTGAAACGTTTGTACGGACTGCGACGGCATCAAATTAAGCCCAGGCGCAAACCACCGACTTTTAGTTGGCCGATATTTGGGCCCGATTCTAAATTGTATGAAGAATCGGGCGATAGGACATCGGTGTAAAGTGCGCACTTTCATACATCTCCATACTGATTAACAGCCCGACCCAACTATCGGCCAACTAAAAAACGGTGGTTTGCGCCTAGGGTTAGTGTGGCACGTACTTAGGTAGTTATTAGTCATAGGTGCGTAAAGTCTGATATGCTGTGACTGTATAGGTCCAATAATTATTTTTAGAAAAATGGTAAGTACGAAATTATTTATTTTCCAGAAACGAGCCAGTTCCGTGCGACAGTTCCGTCATACCAGCGATGGATTTAAGCAGATTTAGAGAAATTTAGAATTAGGATTTACGTATTTTTACACAGTCAGGCGCTGAAATATATTGCCACCATAATCATGATGAAACTATAATTATTATAATTTGAATAATGTTTTTATGTATTCCTTAGACACAGCGCTAAAACCCAGGCTCAGTTAGAACAAAAATAATTTAGAAAGACTTTGTAGTGTAACTATTTTTAGTACCACAGGTTGGTATGGACAAAAGTTCAGATATTTCTTTAGTTGGTTATTTGAGTTTGACTTCATCAGCATTCCTTTCTTCTATCTTCTTCTCACTTCTTTCTTCTGCCTTTTCTATCTTTACGATTATTACAATCATTGCTTCTTTTGCAAAAGCGAACTTATCGTTTTGTTTTGATTATGCATGCACCTTTTGTGATAAAAACAATTGTTGTAATAAATACTAAACTATCGTGTTGATTTATCTTAATGAGTAACCTCGTTGATTTAGTTCAAACATAACTCTTTTGATTATTTAGTAGCTTTTTTTATTTTAACATCTTGTTTTCTAAAACTCCTTGGAGCCCGACCAATGAGTTTTGCTATCCAACACTAAACATCAATAGGGTTATGTATTTGACTGATTTTACCAGATTTTAATTAATTTGCTGATTCTAATTTCACTTCCTTTTCAATGTCGATGAAGTCAAATTTAATTAGGTTTGTACAGGTACCAGATTCAATGATTTTTTCGCCATAAAAAGTCCAGGAATCAGGGGTTTTATGTAGGTTACTGTGGTACTAAAATATTGGTTAATTAAAAAGTTTTCTTTATTAATAAAAGTATGTAATTTAGTGGGTAAAAACAAAAAAGGCTTATTTTGTCACAGATTAAAACACTGGTATTGAATTGAATAATATGGTTGGTGAACATTTGGTGATTTGTTAAAGTTTATTATTTTATTATATTTTTAATGGCGTCACGGTTTTTGTGGTATTTAAAGCAGGCTTTAAATCTCAACCCCACCGAAAATGGTCTCAATTTTTATGCATGATATCTCTAGGTATAAGTTTTTAAAAGAATTTAAAATGTAAAGAAGAATTTTATCGATTTGATATCTGATTATGTATAAAATATAAATATGTAAAATAGCTGCAAGATCAGATGTAAAATACTAAATGATTTTTCAACATGATTGTGTATGCATTTTGTACAAAGTAGTAATGATTTATGTAATTAATTGGGATACAATAGTTTTATCCTAAATCCGTATAATGATTTTTGTACAAGGAGCTCCTTACCTAATTAATTGATTGAATAATGGCGTAATAAATTGCGAATAAAATGTATTTGATTAAAATGCAATTTGTTTCAGTAGATAACAATGATCCTTCTTGATAGAATCAATCTGATAGATATTAACTTGAATCAAGACATTGTAATTCACGTTTAAAAATAGCTCTCTCACACAAATCTTTTCTGCAATTCCAATGCAAAACAAAAGATAGCTTTTACTTAATAGCAGAAGCATCTTCTTTGATGAAAGACCATCAATCAAGCGATTTCTAGTTTTTTTTTTTGCCTTGCCACTTGATGGCAAGTGATTCAGGCGCGACGGGTCGCCAATGAGAAAATTGGTCTCAGTAATAGTTTAATTTTCTCAATTAAAGTTAGACGAGCTCTGTCGACGTAATTTTTCAACGCTTCGAATGCGAATCTTAAAAGGTTTTATGTGTATTTGTAAAGTAAGCACCTTATTAATTTAAGGTTTACTTGATACCTAAGTCTAGTAAGCAGGTAATCTTTAAGTGGCCTGAAACTTTCCATTTAGAATACCTACGTTCGAGACAAAGACTTGTTAATTACTAGACAGTCTGACGAATAAGTGGGGTAGTTATGCAGCGGCGGGGAGGAGCATAATAATATGTGATGTGCTGTAAGGTCCACGAAGGCTTTAGTTGACAAAATAACTCATAAGCTGGGTTGTCTTAATTTAACTTTAACAAACGTTAAAAATCTGTCTGTCAAAACTCACAAAAAGCACCAGTTATCGTTATAGTTACCGTTAAAGTTAGGTGGTGCCACTCAATCTTATTTATTGAAGCCGACAAAATTCTAACTATGAACGACTCGACTATTCCTTACAATGGGAACTATTCGCAAATTCGGACTGAAAATCGAATTTTACAGCCGATTGAAAACGTTTTTCAGGGCTGAAGGCTGAAAGGAAGTGTTTTTAAGTCGTGATAGGTTTCTTTTTATCTGAACAGCGTGTCTAGTAGTTAGTTTAGAAGTCTGTGGCCGTGTCCGGGCGGACACGTGTCCGAGAAGCAATCTGCTAATTGCCGCAAACAACTCGACGTGTCGAGTTCAAAGTCTTGGGTGCAACGCGACCTTTGTGTTCAGGGATGAGGTGCTAATATTTGTAAGTAAAGTAGCAATATGGATTCGCATGTGCAAGTACTTAGTTCCTACTTTAAGTACGTACTTATTTAAGACAAAAACTTCTGAAAATTCTATCCCTTATTGTATTTAAGTAGTTTTACCACTACTTATTTATTGTCTTTACGTAGGAACGCAATTGCAGTATTTAACTGATTGTGTTTTGGAAGAATATTGTACCAAAAAGAATGTATTAATTAATTTTTGTTTTACAAAATTTTATGGTGAACTGTGGTTAAAATAGTATTTTTCTAACTACAAAGAGTTAAAAACAAGAAAGATCAGTTATTATGCTGAATTGTAGGGTACTTTATAAAAAATACCTTATCGAATTTTTACTTTATATGATGAAAGCAATAAATAATTGCAAATTAAGAACAAGTAAAAAGTAAGAGCCGCCCTCAACACGCGAGAGCTTTATAAAAATAACCAACAATAAGCTTCATCAGTTTTGTCTTGTTTTACATTGCATACAGTTACATCTATAGTAAACATAGATGCAGTATGTTCAATGTTCATATTCACTGTATACCTAGTTGGATTATTCAAAACATATGAAGCGAATTATTTCAGCAAATGGATTTTCTGAAGAGAAGAAGAGGAAAGACATTCAAGACCTGACAATAAACGCAAAAAAAAAAACAAAGAATAATACATTTTTATCGTCTCTAATTCTTTTAAGGTGCTTATCCACTGGGAGCTTTCACTTGTAATGATTAAATGCAAGATTCTTGCAAAATGTTTTGACATAAAGCTCAAACCCGATAACTTATCAACTTGGTGAAAAGTCCTCGATGAAAAAAAAGTCTTAAAACAAGTATGAAGATGGCGCTATATCCAGGCAGAATAAAAACGACGCGACAGAACCTCAAGGTTTAAATATACGAGTGATTTTTTTACATAGGTATAAAATTAAGGAGGAAACCTTCTTCTTATCCCTTTACTGTGATCCTGGCATAGCAACAAAGGGATATTTATAGCGGATTAAAAATAACCGCGCAAGAGTGGCGTTTTTAATAACGCTTCGCAAATCTGCGCGCGCGCAGTGACAGAGAGTTATAAGCAACTTCTCGGAAACGCGGGAATGAGTTACGTCGAATTAAACGGGTAAAGGCATGTGGGGAATGGAGGGAGAAATAATTTAAAGTATATTTTGTCCGAAACGTATAAAAATTTTGGTTCCTGCCAAATAGGAACTTCAAATGCAACACTGAATTCATCTGGATGAGATTTTTGGAAGATATAGAAGTGGTCAGTTAGGTTTTTTTTTCAAGCAGGCGGCGGCGGGATTTGAACCCGCGTTCCCCGGATCACGAGTCGGCCAGTCCGACCCCTTCACCGTTCGGCTATAGTGGCTTCGGCTTCGTGGATCTAACAAGAAAAGTGGATAAAGTTGCATTCATGACAGATTCAATGTGATCGCTTATACCACTGCAGTGGCGGGTCACCTTTTAGATGACTTGGCAACAGTTCTATTAAAAAATGTTTAACGTGACTTGTGTGTGCAGTACCTCACCATAAAGTCCCATTTTGTTTGTCAAGTCAACAGTATTGAGAGCTTACACTATCACCGTGTATGGCCCCTTAGCGTAGGGCCGTGTGTAAGTTTGGGCGCGGGCCCAAACAGGCAAATTGCTTGCCCTCACTTCAGTTTCTGCGAATGAGCCCAAGCACTGGTATAGTTGCCGACAAAAGCTTTAAAAGCATAATAAATAGAGAAACCGCAAGTTAGCTGGGATTGTCATGCTACTGCCCAAAAGATAAGGAGACATGTAAAGTGCCCCATAAGGGCTACCTTTTCTTTTTTTTTTATTATTTTCTATTGACGTTCATAAGTGCCACTTGTGGTCTAAACTGAATAAATATTTTTTGATTTTGATTTTGATTTTGATTTTGATTTTGATTTTGACTGTACTTTTAGGTTTTTATAAAAAAAAACCTGACGTTGGTAGAATTATTTCATAGTAAAGCACTATGCACACTCTCTTCAACGAGATAGTATTTTTTTTAAATAGGAACCCTTCACAAGATAGAATTTGGTATTTAAGTAGTGTCCGACCGAAAATGGATTTTCAGCCGAAAACGAAAACGAAGCCTCGGCTGCAGTCTTACCAATGGTAAGTAACACTTATGGAGGAAAGAAACATATTTACCTAAGCTACGTTTTAATTAGAAAAGTATCTAAGATTATCTAGATAAGTTTTCTCAATAACTCATTAACTCAGCCAAAGAACACGATCCACTTAGCAAGCAACCCGATCGTCTTTTACCACATTCTAGGTACGCGCATCTGACCCAGCTTTCTTTGCTGGCAACTTTCTAGTATCTATTTAGTTAAGTATAAACATATTGAACAAACAGTTCCAATTTTATATTTATTTAGTTAATCCTAGATTATATCTAATATTTGACCGGGTGCCTGGTAACTTAGTCAAGTATTTAGCTGGTAATATTGCGCTTAGCCTGAAATAATGCAGTGCGCAGAGCAAAAAAGCCATTTAGCCTGCAGCCAAGCAAATAAACGTTGCACTCAATTAAAAAAAACAAGTAAAACGTGGACAAGGAAAACGTCACTAAATTACATAACACTTTCGTGCACGAGCGTCCAGGTTCAAAGTCAAGGCGCGCCCCGCGACGTTCGATGCTTGATTTACAGCTTTTGTGATCGCCAACATGTAGGGCTGCGCCGAAAATACTTGAACTTGGCTTGGCTTGGCAACATGCAGGGTCACGGCTGGAGAAAGTGATGTAGAAGCCTCGATTGCAAGGGCAGTAGGTACCATGTATTGGGGACTCAACTTTATATTGAGGGCAATGGTGACAGACTGAGTTTCTCGCGTTGGTTCTTTTCAGCACAGCCCATTTATTGTCCCGAAGCAGTGGTAGGTCTAAAGTAATACTGGAATTCGGCGCTTTTAAAGCCAATATTTGAAGAGAAAATACTTTTTATTTCACTTTTTTAACAATGTACCTATGTTATGAGATGATTGGAACTTGTGTCGATAATAATGAAAGAAAGAGAAAAATACGAATATTGCAAAACAATAGCATTATAATGTTACCTTATTGAGATAGAGTATTGATAGTATAATTTAGATGTTTATAACAGAAAAAAAAAAGTGTCAGCCCTGCATTACAGCGAGTATAGCGGTGCGCAAATAGTAAGTTACGCCACTGAGGCTGCTGCACTCCGCAAACTTGCGAGAGGTCACCTCGTGGGCTTCCACCGACTGCAAGTCATCATCATCATCATCATTTCAGCCACAGGACGTCCACTGCTGAACATAGGCCTCCCCCAATGATTTCCAGATTGGTCGGTTGGTAGTGGCCTGCATTATATTAATTCAAATATTATAAAAAGTTCTCGAGTGGCGACCACTAGCCGGAAGACGTAGCGTGGCAGGCCTTCAAGTAGGTGGACTGACGATCTGGTGAAGGTCACGGGAAGAGCCTGGATGCGGGCAGCGCAGGACCGGTCGTTATAAAAATCCTTCGGGGATGCTTTTGTCCAGCAGTGGACGTCATTTGGCTGAATCGAACGAACGAATATTAATCACTCATTTACAATAATGTCCAGCTAATTAAGTTTATTTTTAGATAAGCAATTAATGTGAAAAGCAATAGTTGAAGTTACAACTGATAATCAGAATTCATTCATGAACCGTCATGACTCAGTGAGGATTGTGGTGAGGACTCCATTTTAAAATTCATAAGTAATTAAATAATATTTATAAAATATTATGAAATGCTAGCTCATTTTCGTTTATTTACAAACACCGATTTTTATTTCATTTGAAACAATAATACTAAATCATTCATTCAATTGACTTCATAAGTGAAGTCAAACGAGGGTATTTCGATAAAACTCCAAGGAGAAACTGCGTTTTGTTAACAATTAAAAGTATCTCAATTGACTAGTTGGTGTCCGATTCCATAAATGAGGAGTCAAATTCATGTGTCTGTAAAATAAGTATGTTACATTACATTCGTGAGCTCACTCCATTATTTTTTAATAAAATAAATAACTGTTATTTTATTTTAAAGAACTAGTTGTGTTGTGCAGTTATTGTGTAAAATATGGGAAGTGCATAGACTTAGGTAATGAACCAAAGGTTTAATCCTTACCTTAACTTATCCACGTGTAAAATAATGGAAATTGCATAATATTACACTTTCAAGCTTGCAAATCTTTTTGAAGAGCAAAAGGATGAAGGGTAAGACCCAGAAGACTCAGTGCTCGAGAAACGTAAGTGTTTTATATCTTTTTATGAATAAATTACTTAGGTCTCTCTAAAATTCAAGTGATTTACATAACCTATCTTCTCAGCGCCTACATTTTGTCCCAAAGCAAGCCCAAAGCAGTGGTAGGGTTAAGGTTATATTGGGAAGTCTACGAGTAGGTATAAGCTCTGTAGTAGGAAGCCTATTTTTAAAATAATTTGAAAAAGAAAAGGTGGGCATGGAACCTGATGGAACCCACGACCTTTCGCTCGCCGGGCGATGTGCACAACAAATACTTTTGTGAAATTCGTAAGTACGATATTATGTCACTAAATCGTCAAACTGGCGCCATCCGATGGCGTGTATTTTCCTGAGCCCCCACATTTTCTACATACTCATAGTAGGCCGTTTAGTATAAATAGTTGCTAATAAATACTTGCGATGTCCATTCCCGCCATTAACTCTAGTTCTTACGAGGTGGTTTGAATTATAGGCTGCGTAGATGCCTAGCGGGATTGCCTGGCTATTCTTAGCTAACACCTGCCGAGTCTAAGTACCAATAGATAGGTCAGGGGCCTTGCCTTTAAACTGTATTACCTACTACTTAGCAGCCGCCCGCGATTTCGTACGCGTGGACCCCGTTTTAGCCCCTTAGGAGTGGAGTTTCATAAAATCCGTTCTTAGATGTCTACACCCTATGAGCAAGTAAGTTCTACTTGCCAATCTTTAAGTTTGTAGGTGTAAAGGTTCAGTCAAACCAACGCGATCACACGCGATCAGCCGGTGCGCATCGCCATCGCTGCACGCCGGCTGATCGCGTTGGTTTGGCCGAACCTTTAAAGTTTCTGAGATTCCGTAATAAGTGAGTCAGTCAGTGACATTTCGCTATAAGTATAAAAATTGTAATTACAAAAATGTTCCACATTGTGCTAAGTAAATAAAATACCGATTAAATATCAATTGTAATTGTATTAAGCATGCATTAACGTGTGAAGCGGCGATTGAAGACGTCGCGATTTTAAAAAGTGACGGCTTGAATCCATAAAGTGATTTATAATGATTTATGATATTAAATTAGATATCTCTACGCGTATTATGAGTTTTGTAATCTGTTGTTTTTAATCAGCGTTGTTTTTTTAAGCAATGTATTTTGCACTTAAAATATTTTTTGTACATTTAAAACAATTCTTCTTCTAATGTAAACAAATACGATTATTTAAAAGTGATCACGGGTAGTGATACGGAATCATTCACAAAGAAATGACCTGTTTATGTCCAACCAAAATTTTAACAACCATGGCGCTTTCTCGTGGGAAGATAGTTCCATCCCTTAGACTTTTGTTAAACTACTTTGTCACAAAAAGATTTTTTCCCCTAAAAAACCTTTTGTGGAAGGACAACATCAAAAAAAGTCATGGGAATCGGCAATCACCTGAGATTTATGGCGATATTTGTCAAACTAAGGGACCTCAATAAGGTATTATGAATGTAAAATGTCCCCTGGCCCCTTGCCTATGCTATTCCCGGAATTGAGGAGCCTGGATGTACTGGTTCTGGTGGGATATTTCAAAGGCTTTCTTTTAGTTGTATTCTCGATGGTTTAGGAATGCGTTATTTATTTTATTTGTAGCAACAAAATACGCGCACGAAAGTGAATTTAGAAATTATGTTCTTTGTAAAAGACAATATTATTCATGATAATTATGTTTTTATTCATTAAACATCGGACGCAATTGAAATAAAATAAGGGAAAAAGAGACGAAAAAGTTAAACAAATAAGTTCATGGATGATTTTTTGTAATTGTGGTAATTAAGTATGAAAATATTTTGTTTTGAGTTTTTATTGCGTATAATTATTAATTAAACTATGCAACGCCAAAATTTCAATTGAATTAAATTACGGGTGGTTTAATAAAATTGTATTTTTTTTGTTTTATTTTAATTACTGAGACAAAGGCATAAAGGTTCGACATAAAGCAGCTTGTCACCAATGATGTGGTCTAACCACAATTAAGACTTGCACTAAACAAAAACAAAACTATTTCCTCAACGAACAATAAAAACAGTCGAATTTCGGAACCACAGTCCATGAAACTAATTTCACATTAATTTATATTGAAAAGTCAACTCTAACTTTAGCCGGATAGAGGTCAAGCCAACGAAGATGGTCTGTGGATAAGAAATGTGTAGGTAATTAGTAATTACTTTGTCTAGACTTTTTGATAAAACAAAAAGCGATCGCGCTTCCGTGGACGTTGTTTTTACCCGACTGCGCGACGCAAAAGAGGGTAATGTGCTTATCAGCCTACGGGACTATTCCCACCTCTCGTTCCCACTCCTGTGTAGTCAGGATCTACAGCTTGACCGCCATAAAAACCCAACCAATGAAGGTCAAGTTAGTCCCGGGGGAAAGTTAAACTGTCATTGGAACTGCAATGAAATTAATCAGAAGAACATAGGAGGAGTTCGAAATTATGGTTCGACTTTTCTCCATTGCAAAGCGGATGACAGGTGAGGAACAAAAAGGTTTTTGTGTATCAGCCTATGTGTTTTGTTTTGTAGTAGGTAGGCACCTACTAGTTAAAAACGTTACACAATATGACCACCACGTCCAACTTAGTACTGCCTGGTACTGCCTGTATATCAAAAATATTGTCGGATTTTAGTGGTGAAATAATTTTTCAAATCAGTCCAGCAGTTTCGGAGCCTATTCAATACGAACCAACAATCAATGTTTCTTCTTTATTACATTAACGGGACTGTTCCCACCTCTCGTCCACTCCTGCAACTCCTGTGTAGCCAGGATCTACAGCTTGACCGCCATAAAAACCCAACCAATGAAGATCAAGTTTGTCCCGGGGTTTATTACATTAGTGTAGATTAAGATGAAAGCAATAATTTTTAGAAACTGCTAGAGAGTTAGGGAAAATAAATGACGCAGTTTCCACTTGCAGGACCGGTTGGATTTACTGGAAGTTAAGGAAACGATTAAAGGCTGCGAGAAACGCAGTGTCGGGTTTATTTATTTGCAACGAAAGAAAATGAATAGCTACTTATATAATTGCATTCTTTCTCTTTAATATCATCATCATCATCATCATTTCAGCCAAAGGACGTCCACTGCTGAACATACTAGGCTGATAGGCTCCAATCAAACCCAGTGATCTCCACAATGATCGGTTGGTGGCGGCCAGCATCCAGCGCCTTCCCGAATCCCGCTACCTTTATGAGGTCGTCGGTCCACCTTATGGGTGGACGGTTTAATATTAGAAGAATGAGATTGATTTCTTGCCTAAAAGCTGGATGTAGTCAACACTTTTATAATAGTTGACCAACTGGTGACTATTTTATTTTTGCTTATTTCTGAGTTTACGACCCAACTGTTAATCATTCTACTTTATTTTTCTGGATTAATATTAACTGATATCTGCAATGCGATAGTCTCATTTCATAAAATAAAAATTCAATTGCTTATAAATGACTTTAATATTATTTTAAAATGGTACAACTTTTAGTTTTATCATAAATCAGAAATGCAATATTATTTATTTTAATGTAACTATGCTTAAAGGAATCTAACGGCCTCGAATATAATTAACACAATTACATATTAACACAAAACGGGCAATTATAATGCGTAAAAATTGAATGAAACAGAAAAAAACTAAACTACCTACTAGAAATAATCACAACTAGCTAAATTAAAATAATGAAGTTTTTTTTAAATTGCTTTAAACTGTTCTCCTGGGGGGGATTAATTGTGATAAACCCAACTCCTTAAACATTGAAGGCTTTTAATATTTGCAACAGTGGTTGCTTAAGTGATCACTGCTTCTAATATTTTAACCAAAGATTACCCCTACTTCTTCTTTTATAATAGCAACGACTTGGTTTTGAGAACTCTGATTTCGCCAATGTCACGTAAACAGCTTTGACAAAGTATCAGGGTTTACAAAAAACAAAAATATTTAACATTTATAATAATAAGAAAAATTATTTGTGTGAGTACCTAAAACAAAAAAGACAACACAAAGAAAGAGGGTAGGTAGGATGAAATATTACCCTTTGTTACTCATCCTAGTCAATTTGAAGTAATAATGTTTTTAATATTTAGATATCACTCTCAAAATTCATATCAACCTGTGGGTAATTGTCCACGGATGTGACAGACTTGTTTGAAAGCTAAATCACTGACGTCTTTGTCCTACAATTATATTTTTTGCCCGTTTCCGCTTCTAGTTAGCTAATATCCAAATTACATTATCTGTGTGTTGTGGCTCTTTTTGTCAAAATGGCCGACCTTGGTGTTAAAAATAACTTAATCACATCATATTTCCATTTGGTTATTTGGAATAAAACAACTGAGATAATGAGGGTAGTTTGGAAATTGTGAAATTTCAACTGTCATGTCACCTCAAATTAGTAATCACTTTAAGAAAATCTTGTACGGATCATCGCGGCATCGTCATGATCAGCCCATCAAGATACGAGTAAACACCTTGGGACGTGTAAAAGTGCTTTTTAAAAGCCTATTTGCAAAAATAAATGAGTTTTATAAGAGTTTTTACTGTAGGTCTTATGCTTTTTCCACAAAAGTGTACTTATTTAAAGTTTTGATGGATTTTTCAAATTCAAATTAAATTTTTTGCATGTCACATTACGATTTATAGCGGCGTGACAATATTAGTTTATTTGCGATATTATAGAAGTGACATACAGGATCTTTCCTAGTTAAGGTGTCAACCCGCCATAATCGGCAAAATGTTCTTTTTATAATAGTCTATGTAGTACCTACCTTATTTGTAAGATTATGGTGAGAATAAAGATCTTATTTATTTATTTATTAATAACATTAATACAAGATAAACCTACATTTAAGGACCAATAAAATGCTCGTGCTCATCACACTAAAATTTGTCCTCCGCAGGATTCAAACCCACAGCCACAGCTGGCCGGTACGTGACTCACACCATTACACACTTAAAACAATAAAATTAGTAGACTGCGTTTATAAAAACGACTGAAAAAGTAATGAAACTAAATGCCAACGCTGCACCAGAAAAATAATAAAAAGAAAATTCAAAAAATAATAAATACTATCCAGAAAAAAATGGTTGAGCAGTAGGCCTCAGTGTCAAGCAATGGACTAATAAAGTAACCCGAATTAGGAAAAACTTGAAAACTGAACATAATTAAGTACTTATTGGAAACTTAACTGAGGTCTGGTCTGAGACCACTTCCACACCACGCCATCTGACCAATAAAAGTCAAGAAATAGGGATAATAAGTTAAAAAAACTTTATACTTATTCAGCATCATTTTAACTAAAGATGCATAAGTATTTTTTTGTTAATGAATTATGCTGAAGAGGCGCCTCTCAGCAAAAATCGCGACATGACATGATAACTAAGCATAAGTAGGCTATGGTATGGTATTCCAATAAAACCTGTCATGGCGTCATGAAATCTGACGAAAGCTTGACGGTTGTTGCGATCTTCGGCACTCCGGCGCAGAACGGGCACTTAGGGTTGTCAACATTTGCATTATTTTGTACAACTACTCGACAAGTTGTATAGTAAGCCATACTAGATCTACCCAACCCTAATTGAAGAATTTCGTTAAATTCAGGATATTAGCATTCCAGTGTTAATGGCTAGGCGAATCTTTCCTTCACCACCAACATTCGTGGTGACATTCTACCATGTTACTATTGATTAGTTAGATTAAGAAATTTCATTAACCAATTCAAAAAGACGATAAACTCCTTCAAAACTTTACTGCAAAGAAACAGTTTTCTACAAACGTCAAATTAAGTTTTTTACCTTTTGGGCAAAGTAGAAGCGAAATTAAAGTAGATTTTGATGTAAAGATGGTAAATTTTCTTGAAAGTTATTTCATAATTGCATTAAAAAAACTACTTATGAAGTTCTGAAAAGGAAAAAATAATACCTACTTTCTCATAATATTGATCTAATTTGAGTAATGACGAAGCCAGCCCTGCCTCGTAGCGAAATGCTTTATAAGACGGGTTGCGCGCGCGCATGGAGTGAAATGCAGCCTGACCGCTGCGATCAATTAGCGCTCGCTCCCGCTACAGTCAAAGAGTAGAACAGTAGGCATGTCTTTCTAAAGTGTAAGCAGAAGAACACAATTTCATTACTTCCTGACGTTAAAAAAAGGCGTAATATCTTACTACAAGCAAGCGGAAGGTCGTGGGTTCAATTCCTGCCTTGAGCAGTTCGATTTTTTCAAGTTATTTATAATTTTCAAATTAGTTTGAGATGCAACTCTTAATGCTAAAAATTAAATAACTATCTTACTACAAGTTTATTGCTTAGTTTGGTACTATAGACGCAGTGTAAAATGTACAAGGATATTTTTTATTTTCATCTCGACATTGGCAAGTGTTGGTCTCGAAGCGCTGCCCAAGGAGAGCCATTTTGACTACGGTGTAGTTTTAGGGAGTGTTGAGTGAAGTTTGTCTCTACATGAGATCTGATAACAATTTTACAGTGTGAGCCATACGGTTCATCTTTCATGTCTGTATTGTCTTATTCTCTTTAGATTTTTAAATTCAAACTTTCTATAGCAATCCTAGGAGCGTACTGTGATGCCACTCTGAAAGAAATAAAGTTAGGTAAATACTTGCACACAATTATAGTAAATAAATAAAAGAAAGACACTATTTTGGCTTTTATCATGCTCTTTAAGGTGCGATTGCAGTCAAATTGCCTTGTCTTGCATAAAAAGAAAAAAGTAAGTAGTGCCAAAAGGACACTTACATCTTTACATGCGATCGCTTACATTCAATTACTCGGAGTAGGTACGAGATGCACTTAGGCCCAGTTTTTTGATTCTTAGTTAAAATAACTAATTGTTAAATTTTGCTACTAATGGTTAAATATTAACAAAATGTAAACAAATAGTTTCAAAATGTACTAAAAGTCAAGCTAACCATTGTTCGAAAAACATTTTTCTCTGATATTTAACCACTTGTCATTTGACATCTGTCAAATTTGACCATTGGTTATTTTAACTATGAATCAAAAAACCGGGCCTTACTGCTTGTACATATTTACACTGTGTCAAATCTCTTGAGCATAAATAAGATAGTGAGGAAAACTTGCAGTAGAAGGGTTAGTTTTTATGGATAGGTATAGAGTAAATAATTTTAGTGTGTTTACTTTGATAGTGGTTTATTTGAAATTCAGATTTTCAAACTGAAAATAGGGAATCTATACTTCCGGCGAGGATTTCCTACAAAATAGAATTTAAAATAAAAGAAAACATCGATCATTATTTTGAAATGACAATTTTTATAATGGCAAACTAATAACTTAGATTAAATAGGAAATGGACTCCCGCGTTCATAGATCAGGGAAAAATGGGAAGCACTTATTTATACATTACTAGCTTTCCGCCCGCGGCTTCGCGCGCGTGCGCCCCTGAACCCTATGTTTTTCCAAAATAAAATTTAGCCTATGTTACTCGTGAATAACGTAGCTTTCGTTTGGTGAAAGAATTTTTTAAATCGGCCCAGTACTTTTTAAGCCTATTCATTACAAACATACAAAAATAGGTACAAATCTTTCCTCTTTATAATATTAGTATAGATGTAGGCAGTGTTTTGATATTTGTATAAGTTTAGCCAATTGATATCAAGCTTAACGCTGTGATTTCTTAGGTATGTACTCGTAGTTGCCATAGCTGCTATTTTGTCACAAAATGTAGACTCTAATGGGCAGTCTGTAACATTACCTATGATTAGCATACATGGTTTAACCCAAAGGGAATAAGATAAGACCACACTCAGCTATGTGCTAAGGCTTTGCAATGTAAGTACCGTTTGTTCGCCTGGAGCGAGCGCCCGCGCCCCCAGTCGGAATCGAATCGCGAGACCGATCGCGCGCGTCCACCGAGTATTTTGCGGTGACGCGGTAGACGTAAGAGTAAAGTGAAATATACCCCAGTTGTGCCATAATAGTTTTAAAAATGGTGTGCAAAGTTGTCCCGAAGGTTAACAGTCGTGAGTAATTTTATTTCGATTTTTATTGTTTTTTTTTTTATTGAAAAATCGATCATAACAATAATTATATCATTAATAACAAAATAATAATAATTTACGGTAACTAGGCAAGTTTTTAGATTTGCAATTACGAAACCAAAAAATATATTAGCATAATCGAATATAATAATTAAGATTTGAACGTCGATCGCAGGCAGATATTATTTTTATTTAAAATCACGTATAAACAAAAACTTTATAAGTGAGGTAACAAAAAAATATAAAAATTGTAAGTTGTATGAAAAAGGTTGATAAAATACTATTGATTCGCTTCAGCTACAGATAGTTGTAATAAAAACGTCGTTAAATGTTAAGCATTACTTTCATCGGCGGCCACATGTGAGGATCGCACTTAAGTGGCTTTTTATACGATCAGCTAATGAACACTACGAGCAAAGTTACTAAGAAAATACTATTCAAGACATTCTAGACAAGAAAAACGCTCATTATCACTAAATTATCTCCTTGACCTTTCATTTTTTTCTTATTGCATAAAACAACGTGAACGTAAAATAATTCGTAACTTTTCAGCTGAAAAAACTACCTATCGATCAGCTGAAAAACTATTGGTAAAATTATTGCAAGTGATAGGGATCAATGATTTCTATATCATAACTTTTATGTATGTGATAACGTCTAATTAAAATATGCTTTTTGCAATCAGTAAGAAATAATTAATGGACACTCTGTTTACTTATATTATAAGTAGGTACCCTACTTAATACTACTAATAATAACTAGTAATTACTAATAGATGCTTAATATGTGCAACTTTTTTTTACCTACTACTAAGTACCTACATAACATAGTTTTTATGAAATTTTCAGTTGTCAATCAAACTTTTATGTTAGAAAAAAAAAAATTCAAAACGCACGTTTCAAATCTTTTAAAAGTTAATCGTAATAGTTTTTCATGAAAAAGAAAAGTTTGAGAATTTATTATTTCAAATGTCAATTCAACTAAACAGTTAGGTATACTACCTGTTTCTATAAATATTGGCAACAGCAGCACATTTTTTAAAATAATTTTATAAATCTAAAAAACTAAATGTTACGTCTTACGTTTGTAGAGCAATAAATATATATAAAAACTGCTGAATAATACCTAATTAAGAAATTCTGATTATAATGCGGCGTATTGAATGATGCGATTAACACATATAACTGCAATAAACATGAATGAAATAATATTTTATTACCTTTAATTACCAAAACCTCAAATTGAATTGGAGTACAAACCAGAGTTTTAAATAGGTACTTACGTACTTTATGATACTTCACTACATTGTATAAAACAAAGCCGCTTTCCGCTGTCTGTCCCTATGGTCCCTATGACAATGTATGCTTAGATCTTTAGAACTACGCAATGGATTTTGATGCAGTTTTTTTATAGATAAAGTGACTCAAGAGGAAGGTTTATAAGACAGTATAAACATGCATATTATAGAAGAGAAAAGCCGGGAAATTCCATTGCAACCGTGCGAAGCCGGGGCGAGTCGCTAGTAATACATAGAGTCGTATCGCTAGTTCACATCACTTATAATTTCATAATTCATTATTAAAATAAGGAAGACTGCGCTTTATTCATATTTCCCAAAAAAATTTTATAATCATTTCCGATTCGTTTCTTAATACTTATTATTTTATACATCTTATAAATTACTCAAGCATTTTGACAGAACACGAAAGTGATTTATTGAATTATAGCCTGACCAGGAACATAAAAACCCTCGCCATGTTGCGGAAAACTAATGGTACTAATTTCTTTTAATGGCAACAGTAACTGAAAACTTCATTCACATGTCACCATGCATGTCAGTCTATTGTTGTCAAAGTGTAAACAAACTTTATTTTAAATGTGTGCAATTGATTTCGTGAATTAAATTGCTAAAATATTTTTATAGTCGTGAAAGAAAAGTGGTTCACGATGTGTTAATGTATTTGTCGAAGAGAAATACTAAGGGTTCAGACAATATTTTCATTGAATAATGTTTCCGACAAAGGTTGTCAAATTGACTGACATGTTTATCGTATGGTACAGTCCACTATGAAAATTAGCTGTAGTCTGTTTCAACTACCTATTTTAAAGTTTTTTGTCACTTTCTAAGTTTTGAATTTTATGGAATTGGGAAAGAAGTACCGAGTTTGAAGCGTTCATGAGCAGACATTGCAGTTGAATATTCAAGTTCTGAATTTGATTATTGATGAATAATAAAATAAATCCTACTAGCTCGATTGATGGTTTCATTTAATTTTTTTAAACCAGGTTATCTTTAATAATATTTTTCGTTAATTTATGAAAATATCAAATTAGCCCGTAATCCTGAATCCTGATACATAAATTTAGCCTATTAATTTAACACATGTACGACTGTACTCAGTGTTGCACTATCAAATGCAATTGAAGCGCCTCTGTGCCAGGGTTTTTATGTTCCTGGTCAGGCTATACAGATATAATTGACATTTAATATTTATTGCAAACGACATTTTAGAGTTAAGAAAGAACTGATTGAATTAAATTCATTTAAATAAACATTTTATTTTGTTACACACTGCTTGTTAGACCAAAATTATAAATTGCCCAAGAAATTGAAACAGTTTTAGTGGATACTTAGATTTTACCAAAAATGGTATTTCTCATTACGATTCTAGAAGGGAAAATTGTAAAATTATATTATTTTCCTGACGAATTTGACATGGTCACAATTTGTTGGTAGGAAATTGTTTTCTAAATTCGATCGATAATTTAATTTTTAACAAGATAATTCATCAAATTATAGGTTACAACAACACAGTGACATGGATTCTATTGAAGTCATATCAACTTATAGCAACTCTTTACAAATATCAAACTCAGCATGTTTTCAGCTATTCTTATTAATACATTATTTCATACTTACTTTCACTTGACCTTCCCGTGAATAAGTTTAAGAGCTCTCGCGGACTCTCGTCTGGGTTCAAATCTTAGATAGTACTGCCGTTTTGTGTAATTCTTCCTAATGTGGTCTTGAATAAAAGAAAGTTTGACACTAGGGTGCCATCAATCCCCGTGATAGGAGCAGAACTGGCAGAACTTTGACTTTACTTTTAGCAATTTTTTGTGTTATTACTGGCAACTAGTGCTTTTTTTCTGTAAATTTTGACTAATGTTTCCTTGTTGGTAATCTAAATAAATAAGTAAATCCGCTTGTTTCATAGCCGCACACCGAGCGGCGGGCGATGCACCGGACAGCCAGACACAGGAGGTAGCGGATTACGAGACGGCGCTGGATTCCGCTGGTAAGTTGACAATATAAACAAACAAATTGTTTGGATTGTTTACTATTGGTTTCCGTTTATTGACCATACTTTGGCGGTAACTACAATTAGGAGTACGCGGACTTATGATAAAAAACAACTTATCTAAAAAAAATGCACATTGAACAAAAAGCAAACTAAATGCCATAATAGGTATAACATTGTCCTCTAGCTAGAATAGTCATGTGAAGTAAAGAGGAAATGGCTATCCAATTTAACATTATCTTTAATTTTTTTAGTCTTTTTGCTAAACAATAAAAAGGCCAATTTCTCTTTACAGAGCTGCCAAGAGCGAAATATAACCAACTAACAATTATTTATCTATAGATTGGCAATTGTTCAAATCAGCACAGATCTATGCCTTATCTAAACTAGATATCAATTATGCGTTATCTATCTTCTAAGATCAAATCTAGACCAGCGCAGTAGGCAAAAAAGGCCTAAACGTGATTTTCCCGCTCGTGTGGACTGCGCTCGCAGCACGCGTGTGACGTCACCGCCGCGTGCGCACGGTCGCGTCGCATCATGCGAATGATCTGAATACCGTACGATTTGTTGTGACTAGATAATCATAGTTAAATAGAATACAATTATTATTGTGTTCTCAGATGAAGACGTGCAATTTTAAAAAACAATGTTCAATCATTTTCTTTCATATTTTAATAAACCAGTGAAGTACATGTGGGATTCGCACTCGAAGATTTCCGCGTTGTAGGCAGATAGAAAGATAGAGACGCGGAATGAAAAGGGTCCCGTTAGCACCCTTTGGATAAGGGACCCTTAAAAGTAGTCTTCCTTCCCTCGTTCGTTCGTTTCAGCTGAATGACGTCCACTGCTGGACAAAGGCCTCCTCCAAGGTTTTCCACAATGAACGGTCCTGCGCTGCCCGCATCCAGGCTCTTACCGCGACCTTCACCAGATCGTCGGTCCACCTAGTAGGAGGCCTGCCCACGCTACGTCTTCCAGCCCGTGGTCGCCACTCGAGAACTTTCCTGCCCCAACGGCCATCGTCTCTACGAGCTATGTGCCCCGCCCACTGCCACTTGATTTTAGCAATTCTGCGAGCTATGTAGGTTACTTTGGTTCTCCTGCTTCCTTCCCTCATCTAAGTTTAATCACGAAATGAGTATCCGGAAAGGCTACTTGAATGGAGACCACGTCATGGCAAGCGTAGTATAGGACACCCACTTCCTTGATGGACCGACGACCTTAGTTGGCAGATCTTGTCTTGTGGGCCTATGTCTAGCATGGATCGACCTAACCGGAAATGATGTTTATAATGAGTAACGTCATCTCATCTCTACTCAGCCCCATTCATATATTGACACACTCCGTTGTTTCCAAACACTATGCCGAATAGCTTACGAGTACCCTATCCTAACGATGTTATTGTAACAGCGAGTGCAATTTCAAATATTATTGTAAATTACAATATCAGCCGGTGCCGTACAAAAACATTCTATTCACCGATCGAATTGTATGTACGTACAATAACTATGGAGATTGCAAGATGTGGGTAGAGACAGCTTATAAGAAAACCTTTGGTGTAAAATCGCCCTTAATACGACTGTGTAAGAGCTGATGTGTTTATTTAACTTGATAGCCTCTGGAACTCTCTGAACTGAAATGAAACATTGAACAAAGGCGGCACTTCCTTTTGATTCTGCTTTATTAAAGCATGTGAAAACCATGATTTATTTTATAAGATGTTCTAATAGATTGTGAAGTATATGAGTATTCTCGAGAAAAAATAATGACAAAACTATATACTCTAACTTATAATAGTACTAAAACAAGGTTTATGTGAAAGAAAATGTTTAAAATCAATACGGAATACATTTTTCTAAATGTATTTCTAACGTTGATTCTAGATTGATCCATGACATCAAGTCATGCGATGACAATATACTTAATTAGTTATACTTATTAACAAAAACTGTTATTATCAAAAGAACAATCGGCGTATTTGTGACCTATTATAATATAAACACTAGCCTATTATAATAATAACTATTGTTCAAGACAATAATTAACATAGACTATTTTTGGCCATACCTAATTTTAAATCCAAATAATCTTTGATGAAAAGCCCTATTATAATAATACTATGACAAAATGTGTGGAATGTAAGACTTCCTGGCACCTGTATAAATATTGTTGACTTTTGAGATGTACTATAACAGCCATGACTGATTTGTTTTTGTCAAAGTACAAAGGGATAGGTTACAAGAAGTTAAATGGTAATTCAGTATCCTAATACTCAATACTTTGCTTCACCACATTAGCATTTAGGTCTTACAATTCAAGCAGATCAATGTGGACCCAGTTAGGGTTATTTAATATCTGGCTCTCTTTTCCCAGAAATGAAAGCATATTGACTATACCATTATATTCATAGTAGTTCTATTTGGAATAAAATGCGCGTTTCCAAAATGATCGATCCGTCAGTAGGTATAACAATTTTTATTTTATTTTATTTATTTTATTTATTACGGTATACCAACAACATTACATACAAAGTAATTACATGAAAATCTTACATATAGATTAATTAATTGAAATAAACAATTTGGAAAAAAAAATCCAAACAGTTCGACTATCGAACTACTGGTAGGACTAAATGGAATAAAGGAGCATATTTAGCATGCACTTAAAGTGAAAATGAAAAATATTTATTGCCATATTTAATACAAGATAAAAATATAATAAATACAAGACAAAAAGACTGACCCCCACCTCTTAGGCATTGCCTGTCCTGTGGAGAAAGTTAGAGAATTGTTATTTTATTTATTACTCCTCGATGTGATATCATTCATAATAGATTACTGCTTCGTATGTTCAGAAGTGACTTATCTACAGTAGTTTATTAGGACAACAAAATAACAGCCGTGGCATTACATAAATAGTGTATTTTTCGTATTAATGACTCATAAATGTTTTTTTAATTTTAGAATTTTACAAAGAAAGAAGAATTAATGTTTAATCGAGCTTCGAATTATTTTCAACTTTTCTGTTGACTTGTCTGTACCTGTATTCTTCCGAAGCAAGTTACAACGAAAGTGCACGGGGTAGGGTCAGCAAACAAGAGCTCAGGCGATGACGTTTGCTGTCGGTACTGCAGTAACGATAAGAAAACATAGTTAGCGGTGTATTTCCTAAGAACCCGCGTAAAGAAACATGCTGGTTTAATAACAAAGAATTTTTTTTAGAAATAGCACGTTTTAAAGTGCACATTCTTGAATAGTTAGAGTACACAACAAATAGTAACTATTCGTATCTACATAACGATTGTGAGATGAAATAATATTAAGCGTCTAAGAAGCGGATTTTTCGAGGTTTGCACAAATATTTATGAGCTTTTTATAATGATACTTTTGAGAAGTAATATTGTCCCTAAGTGCATTAGACATCACTTCGCCTATTGTACTATCTTAAAAAGTGGAATGTTTTTTTCTTCAAGGCATTTTATTTTACGAAAAAGGTATATCAATCTACCTAAATCTTGCCGCACTGTGTCATCATCTTACTTTGAATGATGCAAAGCGAACTACCAAGCGAAATGGGATTTATTTATTGACTGAAATATCAACTTAGGACTTAATCCAGATGAACGTTTTGTTTTTTCTTCCTCCTTTTCCGAAAAACGTCTTTTGTCTGCGTCTGCCCACATGCAATAAAACCACTATAAAACAATGGCGGCTATTAACGGGCAATTTGCTCTACACTTTATGTATAGCGGTTTATTGGACCGCAAGTTTACGACACTTAGGGTTCGGCCAAACCAACGCGATCACAGCGCGATCAGCTGGCGTGCAGCGATGGCGACCAGACCTAAATGCATTGTTCGCCATCGCTGCACGCCGGTTGATTGCGTTGGTTTGGCCGAATCTTTATGTAAGCGCAGTGTTTATGAAGGGGGAAAGAAACTGCAGGGTTATTTGTTATTTCTTTAGTAAATGTTAATATAATAATCTTTGAAAATTTCAACTAGCTATCAGACAGATGGTGAAGTCTTAGTAATAGGGAACGGCAGCCTTAAAGGAGAGTTCTGGAACTACTGTATATTGTATTTTTTTCATCATCATCATCAGGTGTTTGTCTTTACTGCAAGAATACGACCTCTCCAATTTGAGTACTAATGGCAACTAATGGATTTGGCTTACACTCACACGTTAAACTGTTGGATTAAGTTGTTATAAAAAAAAATCGGCCTGCATCCAGCGCTTTCCTGCTACCTTTATCAGGTCGTCGGTCCACCTTGTGCGTGGACGTCACACGCTGCGTTTTCCGGTACGTGGCCTCTATTCCAGAACCTTGCTGCCCCATCGGCCGTCAGTTCTGCGTACTATGCGGCAGGCCGCTACCAACCGTGCGATGTGGAAGTTGGGGGAGGCCTATGTTCAGCAGTGGACGAAAAATGATGATGATGAAAAAAAATCGATCCCTTGGTCTTTTGACTTCTTACGAGATCTACAAGAGGAGTAGGGGGTAGTAGTCCTATTCTACTCTACTAATTCTTTATTTAGTTTGGGCTGGGCTTGCTCTTACAATTTCACTGCGATTCTGATGCGATGGTAGAGCGAGCTTGTCCAAAAGATGCCTGTTCACTAGTTTTGAAGGTCTAAGGCCCGGTTTCCACGCCAAGGCGGAGCGAAGCAGAAAAGTGTTTTGAATAACCAATCGGATTTCATTATTTCCACAACTCTTCTCCACTCCGCACAGCTTCGCTCCGCGCCGTGCTGCCAACGCTGTCAAATTCTATAGAAAAATTCGTTCACCCAAAACTCCTCTGCTCTGCCCTGCTTTGGTGGAAACCGGGCTTTAGGGTTGTATGCTATCCCAAATTTTCTTCAAATTGTGAATTTCCTTTCCATACACGATCCAACTTTCTAGAGTTTCGTTGTAGTTGTGACCGTCTTGCAGGTTACGGCCACTTCAGCCGAAGCGCGCTGGGCGCGTGCGCGTGCGCGTTCTTCACGACCGGCGTCGAAAACTGCGTGATGTCGTACGTGCTGCCGGCGGCCAAGTGTGAGCTGCAGCTGACCACCTACCAGGCGGGGCTCGTCAACATGGCCTTCATGAGCGGTGAGAACCATCTTATAATTGCTGGTATTTGTTATTAGAAAACGCAAAGGTGGTCGTCCCAAGCAATCTTGGCGGCGCAGTGTAGCAGAGGAGGCGAAGAAAATCAAAAAGACCTGGAGCGAAATCAAATGCAAAGCTCAAGACCGAACGCGATGGAGGACTGTTGTGGACACCCTCTGCCCCATCTAGGGGACAAAGGACCTTAAGTCAAGTAAGTCATTTGTACCTGCATTGTTTTGTTATCACTGAAGTAGTCTTCACGACTGGCGTCGAGAACTGCGTGATGTCGTACGTGCTGCCGGCGGCCAAGTGTGAGCTGCAGCTGTACCACCTACCAGGCGGGGCTCGTCAACATGGCCTTCATGAGCGGTGAGAACCATATTTGTTATTTGTACCTACATTGAAAGAAAGAAAGAAACATTTATTGCCACGGACATCACAAAAGACAAAAGAGGTAAATAAAAAAAAAGCAAATAAGACAGAGGTGACATAAAACATACAATGGAAGAGAAAGTAAACTGAGCAGTGCCACCCTGTCGTACAGCGAGGCCCATCGCAATGGGACCCCACTCAGCATATGCCGTGGCCCCCGGTTTTTTTTGGTTCTCAGTGTGACCGAACATTGTTCACTGAAGCAGTTTTTACGACTGGGCGTTGAGAACTGCGTGCTGTCGGCGGCCAAGTGTGAGCTGTAGCTCATGACCTACTAGGCGGGGCACGTCAACATGGCCTTCATGAGCGGTGAGAAGAATTTTCTTTTTCCTATAAAAGTAGCATCAACCATCGTCTTATCACAAGCGACGATATTCAAACCGAGAAGATGGCATACGTGCTGCCCGCAGCCAAGTGCGAGCTGCAGTTGACCACCTACCAGGAGGCCGTCAACATGGCTTTCATGAGTGGTGAGAAGATTTTTCAAATTTTCATCTTTAACCTGCTGGACAAAAGGTTCCTCTAAGGGCGCTTTTAACCCTTAAATTGTTTTTGTCCGTTTTAAAGGACATGTCAAATAATTGCTTACAGAATTTAATTAAAGCAATTTATCGACTTTCAAGGGATATTTTATAAAAAGCATGATATTTTATGTGAAACACGGGGCTGTAGTTCAATAAAAAGCCGCGAATTTTAAAAATAAAGACATTTGAATAAATGCAACAGTAATGTCAAGTTTTCACTCTTGATAAATGTGGCAATACTGTAGGTATTACACTTGTTCTTGTGCTTTATTGATTGATTTTATAATATTAACGAATAAAACTGACGGTTATTGCCAAAACTGTAAAAAAATATCTATTTTTTTCCATTAATTTCAAGGTTACAAATGTTATGTCACTTAAAACGGACAAAGCCATGTATCAGTAATAAATACTCATGTTGATTTTTAGACATTTTTACCCAATTTCCCCCTTTTAGGGGTTGAATTCTAAAATAACCTGAAACACGTGTTTACTCATTTATCGATAGGAATGTATCCTGTGAAGTTTCGAATTAAATAGTGTAACTAATTTTGTTTGTTTGATTTATGTTGATANGAAGTGAAATTTGGCGAAAAGTAATTTGGCCAAACGGAAGGATACCTTTTAGACTACCTACTTCCTCTTCGTATTTTTTAAGGAAAAAGGTACATCGATCTAACTAAACGCTGTAATACGATGACTGAAAAATAAATATTAGACAATAATAATTTAGGTATAAATTATCAAATTCTTCCGCCACTTCTTCTCAGCACCAGCCCATAATTATGTTGCCCTGAAGTGGTGGTAGGGCAAGCTATTTGCGACGTATAAAGCGCCTGAAGTTCTCTAGTGGTGACCACGGGCTGGAAGACGTAGCGTGGGCTAGCCTCCTACTAGGTGGACCTACGATCTGGTTAAAGGTCGCGGAAAGAGCCTGGATGCGGGCATCGCAGGACCGTTCACTGTAGAAAACCTTGGGGAGGCCTTTGTCTAGCAGTGGACGTCATTTGGCTGAAACGAACGAAAGCGCCTAAAGTTTGACTTTGACAAAGCCTATATTTAGAATTTTAGCCAGATGAACGTTTTTTCTTCCTCATTTTTGAAAAAGCGCCTTTTGTCTGCTACTGCCCACATGCAATAAAACCACTATAAAACAATGGCGGCTATTAACGGGCAATTTGCTCTACACTTTATGTATAGCGGTTTATTGGACCGCAAGTTTACGACACTTATGTAAGAGCAAGTGTTTGTGGAGTGTGGAAAAGAAACTATTTATTATTTCTTTAGTAAATGTTAATATAATCTTTGAAAATTCAAACTGTCTAGCGATAGCTATTTCTCAATTACTATTATTAGCGTTCTTAATAATAGGTCTTAGTAATAGGGAACGGCAGCCTAAAAGGAGAGTTAAGGAGACCTTCTGGGACTCATGTATATTGTATTTTTTTCATCATCATCATCATCCTATCTTTGTCTTTACTGCAAGAATACGACCTCTCCAATTTGAGCACTAATGGCAACTAATGAATTTGTCCTACACTCCACACGTTAAACTATTGGAAAGGATTAAGTTGTTATAAAAAAATCGATCCCTTAGTCTTTTGACTTCTTACGAGATCTACAAGAGAAGTAGGGGGTAGTTCTATTCTAGTTTACTAATTATTTATTTAGTTTGGGCTGGGCTTGCTCTTACAATTTCACTGCGATTCTGATGCGATGGTAGAGCAAACTTGTCCAAAAGATGCCTGTTCACTAGTTTTGAAGGTCTGGAGGCCCGGTTTCCACGCCAAGGCGGAGCGAAGCAGAAAAGTGTTTTGAATAACCAATCGGATTTCATTATTTCCACAAGTCTTCTCCACTCCGCACAGCTTCGCTCCGCACAGTGCTGCCAACGCTGTCAAATTCTATAGAAAAATTCGTTCACCCGAAACTCCTCTGCTCTGCCCCGTTTTGGTTCAAACCGGGCTTTAGGGTTATATGCTATCCCAAATTTTCTTCAAATTGTGAATTTCCTTTCCATACACGATCCAACTTTCTAGAGTTTCGTTGTAGTTGTGACCGTCTTGCAGGTTACGGGCACTTCAGCCGAAGCGCGCTGGGGGCGTGCGCGTGCGCGTTCTTCACGACTGGCGTCGAGAACTGCGTGATGTCGTACGTGCTGCCGGCGGCCAAGTGTGAGCTACAGCTGACCACCTACCAGGCGGGGCTCGTCAACATGGCCTTCATGAGCGGTGAGAACCATATTTGTTATTTTTACCTACATTGAAAGAAAGAAAGAAACATTTATTGCCACGGACATCACAAAAAACAAAAGAGGTAAATAAAAAAAAAGCAAATAAGACGGAGGTGACATAAAACACACAATGGAAGAGAAAGTAAACTGAGCAGTGCCACCCTGTCGCACAGCGATGCCCATCGCAATGGGACCCCACTCAGCATAATATGCCGTGGCCCCCGGCTTTTTTTTGGTTCTCAGTGTGACCGAACATTGTTCACTGAAGCAGTTTTTACGACTGGCGTTGAGAACTGCGTGCTGTCGGCGGCCAAGTGTGAGCTGTAGCTCATGACCTACTAGGCGGGGCTCGTCAACATGGCCTTCATAGCGGTGAGAAGAATTTTCTTTTTCCTATAAAAGTAGCATCAACCATCGTCTTATCACAAGCTTAAGCGACGATATTCAAACCGAGAAGGTGGCATACGTGCTGCCCGCAGCCAAGTGCGAGCTGCAGTTGACCACCTACCAGAAGGGGGTCGTCAACATGGCTTTCATGAGTGGTGAGAAGATTTTTAAAATTTTCATCTTTAACCTGCTGGACAAAAGGTTCCTCTAAGGGCGCTTTTAATTTAGACGTTTCGTGTCGGACGTTTGTTGTGCGTTTGCAGGACCGCACACGGTAAATAAAACAACGGTAAATAAAGTGATAACAACTGCCAAATTTAAAGCACCCTAATAATTTTAAGACAACTGGTCTTGCTCCAACAGTACTTCTTCTGGTCTTATTCTTCTTATTATCTGTGTCATCTTTCCTACTTACAGCGAATTAAGTAGGTACAGGGTGTCATGCTTCATGATCATCTGGCATCGTTTTGACATACACGGGTCCACACTCGAGGCCTCAAAGTCAGATTGTATGCTAAGATGCAGGGGTTGTTAGTTTTAAGTCTATTTACATAACAATTTAAGAATCCCTCGTCAGTTATGTTTAAGTTAGGTACTAAACGTTTTTGATTTACAATATTTGTTAGCAATTTAATCAATTGAATTAAGAAAGGACATCATCCACGTTTCATATATTTTTGGTCCAAAATCAAAAGTGCCGGCCAACAAAAAAAAGTGCCGTATTCTGACAGAATACGTCTGCCTTAGCATTTGTTACTATGGCACCAAAGCTGTAGCACCACTGTGCGTCGAGTATTTGAGATCTAAAAGTCATCGACTATTCATACATTTTTTGTTCAAAATCAAAAGTGTCGGCCAATAAAAACAAAAGTGCTGTATTCTGACAGAATACGTCCGCCTTAGCATTTGTTACTATGGCACCAAAGCTGTAGCACCACTGTGCGTCGAGTATTTGAGATCTGAAATTCATCGACGATTCATACATTTTTTGTTCAAAATCAAAAGTGTCGGCCAATAAAAAAAAGTGCTGTAGTCTGACAGAATACGTCCGCCTTAGCATTTGTTACTATGNTTTTATGGAATTGGGAAAGAAGTACCGAGTTTGAAGCGTTCATGAGCAGACATTGTAGTTGAATATTCAAGTTCAGAATTTGATTATTGATGAATAATAAGAAAATCCTACTTGCTCGATTGATGGTTTCATTTAATTTATTTAAACCAGTTTACCTATAATATAATACGTTTTTGTTAATTTATGAAAATATTAAATAAGCCTATAATCCTGAATCCTGATACATAAAGTTAGCCTATTAATTTAATACAGGTACGACTGTACCCAGTGTTGCACTATCAAATGCAATTGACGCGCCTCTAAGCCAGGGTTTTTATGTTCCTGGTCAGGCTATACTAAACGTTTTTGATTTACAATATTTGTTAGCAATTTAATCAATTGAATTAAGAAATTAGCGGTAATTAATTAAGATAATTAAAAATGAAATACTAATAATAAGTGCAATCACGGAAATTAAAGGCTTATTTTTGTTTTAAATGCTAAATATTTCATCGAACGGATTGTTATGTCAAATTCTACTGAACTAATTGTATTATTTAGTGCTTTAATGCGAAATCAAACATTACAATAGTTATATATATATATATTATAATAGTTATAACCAAACGGTTAACATATTTTAAATAGATTCGGCGTATCGTTGTTACGTATACGGAAAATACAACTGTTTCAAATATTTGTACATAAGAGTATTTACTAAAGGTTATTACGACTCACACTTTAAGCTGTACGATAACCACAACAATGCAAAATCAATCGCAAGTAAACATCACATTACACACTCGATAGACAACTCCATAAAAATATAAAAAGAGAAAAGAAAAATACACAAGCATAAAATTTTCAGAACTAAGAAGGTAGGTAATTTTCATGCTGCATTTCATTCCGAAACAGCTGGCAAGCTCACTGCTCAGTTTTACGATTTAACTCAAGTGCATTGTAAAAATGAACACCTGTTAAAATTACAAAGCTAAAATGGCATAAAAAACTCAAAAAACTCAATTATTTCTGTAAATAGGCTTAAAAAAGCACTTTTTGCAGAACGGTACTAGATATTTTTGGATAGGTAAGTCTAATAAAAATAAAACGTAATATTACCTTACCCAGTACGATCTAATTGGGAGGTGTCAGATACTGTAAAAGGCGTATTTAGCGGTAATTTCGTACATCTACGAATCTTTGGACTGATGTCACCATGCTGTTGATAATATCTATTGGATTACGATCGGAAAATTAACGCTCTTAAAGACGAAGCATACTTGTCAACCCGAAAACAGATGGTAACCGTATCAACTCGAGGCAGTCAGTATTCTTTGTATGAAACTCCATACTGCAACGCACACTTATCCGCACCGTAACGTAAATGCCTCGCCTTGCGGCGAAAGGCGATACGGCGTTGATCGCCTTCTGGGTTGATAAGTGTGCTACGACCTTTAAGGCGCGCGCGCACGGGTGACTTTTGTCACCATTACAGTGTGTCTCTCCATGGGTAAGAATAAGTACCTACTACGTTGTCTCTCTTTTTCTCTTTATGAAAGTAAGAGAAAGATAATATTGTCACATTGACAAAATGTCACTTGTGCGCGCATAGCCTTAGATTGGTGATTATTGTGGAATAGAAGTCGCACAATTTCACTTTAATAAATCATGCTCATAAAATATTTACAATAGTATATAGAAGGGGATTGGAAATAAGTAGTAGAAATCCAGTTTCCTTAGATAGAAAGGAACTTATGATGATTGAATACAATCCTAAGTTGTATTATGCTAAATTGTATTATGCTAATTTGTATTACGCTAATTTGTAATACAGAAGTGCTGGGAAGTCAGGTAACAAACATAGTATGAAGTTTATTTAAATCCAAGAAAATGATTGATAGAAAACGATCTTACAATAGTTTTTTTAACCTTCTTCTCCCAGGTGGTGTGGCCAGTGCGTTCTTCTGGGGTATTGTGGGCGACGTGTTCGGGAGACGGAACATCCTCAGCATGACGTTGCTCCTCAACGCAGCCCTGACCCTCGGTCAGAGCATGGTGGCGGATTACCGGCTTCTGCTGGCTGCGAGGTCCATCAATGGCTTCCTGATTGGTAAGACTTGGTCTTGTAGAATAGAATAGAACGTATTTATTTGTCTCGAAAATCATTGGTAGTTTTCATTGCGCTGCAGCGCTGGTTTCGAAGGCTGGATGTTTTACTTTAGCTTCCTTAAAAAACCGTTTGATTTTGTGCCAAAGGAGTGCTACAAAGCAAGAGCCTTTTGTCGTTTAAGTATTGACTTATACTTAAACCATAAAATGCTCTTGCTTTGTAGCATTCCTTTGAGGGATACTTCTGTTCAGCAGAGCAGTCCTCTACTAGCCTAGCTAGGCTGAAACGGTGAGCTCTTTTGTGAAAACTCGAATGAATTATTTGAATCTATACAGCTTATTTAACTATCTTCTATTGTCTCATTAAACAATCTTGGTCCGCAGGTGGTCCCTCGACGCTCGTTTTCACGTATCTGTCGGACCTGGTGGGCGCCAAGAAGAGGCAGTTCTACCTGAACATCACCGGGATGAGCTTCGTCGCTGCCTGGCTCATATTACCAGGTAAAATTCTATGTAATATCTTGATTTTCTATGATTGGGCAGTATGATCGTCAGTACGATCATGCCCAGTGGCAGCTATAGATTTTTGTTGTAAAATCGCAGTTATTAAAACATAATATTATGTACCTTTAATATTGAATTTGATTGATAATTGTAAAGCTAAATTCACGACGACTTCCCACCACTCTCTATTTTGAAATTACTTTCTCTCAGTGCTAGGTTCAAATTCAAGATTCAAATCGCGCTCAAGGTCGTAATTCTTATCCCCAACTTATAAAGTATTGTACTTGTATAATTTTATTTACCTATTGCTGCCTATGCCATAGCGACGACTAACAACTTTTTACATTGACCTGACCCGGAACCGAACCTAAAGACTCCATAATTTCGCCGTTCAACTCCATCGCTATATTATTATCCTTGAACTCTGAACCGACCCCATTTTTTATGATCCATCATTACATTAATTCAATCTGTTAGTATCAATTAGTACCGTTAAATAAATGTAAAGATTTTTACAATTCACTCGTTTAGCTGATGACAGGCTCATGTAGACTGCGATGCAAAAACAAATAGGCAAAAAAAGTGACCTACTGACCTCCCATCATTCATATCACTGACCGCTAATGCATATTTTGTTTCATTACTTTCTTATTACGCCTCAGTGCCCCAATGGTTAGAGAGACCTTCCTAGGTCAGTTTCTGGGTTCGATTTTCACGAGGGATTTTGAAGCTTGAAAGTGATTGTGCGAAACAATGACTTTTTATATTTAATTTAGCCCGAAGGTGAACTGGCAGAGAACATTATTAAATTATTAAGATTTAGGTTCATTGGGCGCTTCATTGGGCGAAACTAAATAAAAAAGTCTTTGGTTTTGCGATACTTTTTGTAAGAATTAGGAATTACTACTACTACTAGACGGATTTTAATGAGACAAGTAACTTTAGTAAACAAAACTGTGCGCTTTGTGAAGCAAATCTATCTACATTAGTTTGTGATACCTAAACCATTGATTGTTGTCATGTTAAGTGATGGGTGACCACTCTTTTTATACAGTATTAGACGATAAAACGTTTCCAATTCATGAGATCCTTACATGGTCGATTGAAGTGGCCTTTGTGGCATTATGCCGAAAATGAGCAGGATTTAGCAGATCTTTTCGATAACCGTTGATTAGATTTTTTCCATATGCACTAAATTAGTGTAATGTCTTTCGTAATACACACTTGTAACTTAGTAATAGATCTATTTGACTATTTTTTTTTATCACTAAGGGTTGACAGAAGGGTCTATTCCACTTTGATCACCTGGGTGATTAAAGCCAGGTGATCATAGTGGAATAGACCCCAAGCGACAATTTAGTGTCCGTTGATCACCCATGGATAAGATGACCTGGGTGATCAAAGTGGACTCCAGTTTAATTATTATTTTAGTTTCCTTTAATCACCTATAAATAAATAACACCTCTAAAACTCAAATTTTATAGACTAAGCGAATTGAGCAAGGAACCAGTGATTTACAGTATCCTCTTCCAGCCGTAGCCTGGCTGGTCATCCCATTCAAAGTGGCGGACTACCACACGCTGCTGCCGGTGTACTCCTGGAGGCTGTACCTGGCTCTCGGCAGCCTGCCGGGCTTCGTCAGCGGTCTCTGGATGCTGGCGCTACCGGAGAGCCCCAGACTGTTGTCAGACACCAACAGGAGTGATAAAGCCTTGAAAATCTTGGCGAAGATCCACAAGAATAATCATGAGAAAGGTGCTGAGTTTAAGGTAGAGTAGACTGAGGCCAGCAAATTATTTATTTGTACTATCGCCAACAGTTTTAACTGCCCATTGAAAGTCATGTCATCTCGTTCTATCGCAAAGAATCGCCATTTGATTAGAGCGAGAGCAAAAACGGAAATGGATAGTTAACAGTGTGGACGTGTGTACATGAGACCAAGATGACTCATATCATAACGTGCAGTAATAAGACTTAGGAAGAAGGGGATCCATGAGGTAGCCAGTCCTCTTTTCATAAATATTACGGCTCTAGATTTTTATCGATAAGATACTAAGCGTCGCCACGAAACTGTCTGTCCGATTGCCATAATAATATAGGCACAAACGACCCCAGGATATCTGAATCTGAGCAAAGTTCTCAGCTACATTTTAAATGATAAGCCATGGCTTAAAGTATTTATGATTTACAGATAAAGAAACTCATCCAAGACAACATATTCGTTGAGAAGACTTTGGGTGAAGAAGAGAACAGAACGAAGGCTTTATTCATGGGGGTGCTGAAAGACCTGAAGATGTTCGTCTCCAAAACCTACGCGATCAAATCCAGCCTCATCTTGTTTGTGTTCTTTGCGAATATGGCCGCGTAAGTTTTTTTACATTATACTGCTTAGAATAGTAAATCTAGGTTATTTCTGATTGTGTGAATTTTGTAACTTTAATAACATTAGACATCAGCAGCTTTTAAGGATATGTCCGAAAATCCATAACTATCCCTCATTACCTTTCCCTCAGGATAAACTTGACCTTCACTGGTTGAATTTTTATTGGCGGTTAAGCTGTAGAACCTGGCTACACAGCACTAGCGGCGTAAGGGGGGGGCGGTGGGGGCGGTCCGCCCCGGGTGCCAAGCCTCAGGGGGTGACACAAGTCGCGCAGATTAGTACTGATTAGCGGATCTGCCATGACAAGTCTGCGGTCTATCTCATGATACGGGGGGTGCGATTGTCTTCAATCTTCGAATTGGTAGGTAACCCCAAAATCCTTGGGGGTAGGGGTGCCATAGGACTTATGACGGGGGGGGGGGGGGGGGTGATCGCCCCGGGTGCCAACCCATGCTACGCCGCCACTGCTACACAGGAGTTGCAACGGTGTGAAAGAGAGGTGGGAGTAGTCCCGAACCATCCCTCATAGAAATTTTTTGTCCTTCTAGTGGTTTCGGCCTAAATCTCTGGATCCCTGAACTGCTCCTCCGCATGCAAAGCAAGGAGTGCAAGTACGCCAAGCTGGATGCTTTACCAGAGAACGCTCGGCTGGTGAATGCGACCGCTGCAGTTCTGAAGGAGCTGACCATGCCCAAGGCTGAGACGGTGGGAGGCTTCAACGGGAGCATGTTCGACCCTCTGGACGTCAGGAGTGGAGGGGAGAAATGCAGCAGCGATATGGATGATGACGTAAGTATTCTTGATAAGAGCCATGCGTGGGTCTTCATCACTATCATCATCAGGCATTTAGTCCCTACTGGACGAGGACGAACCTCTCTTATTTACCAGAAGCAAACAGAGGCCTTGGTAGAAACTTCACGATGACCAGACCTTTGGATTAAGGCCAGATGTTTGCACATTTTTGCCTCTTAGGACATCCAAGAAGAATGGGGATGAGTCTTACGTGGTCGTCAACCTAATTCAATGCCAATGGAATTATAGTAAAGAAATAGTTTGTTAGTTTGACGACTTGACATTAAGTAGACACCCAGAAGTTAAGTAACGCAGAATTATTGTTATTCCAGGTGTTCACCTCAGGCTTGATAGTGGGCGCGTGTTGCGTGCTAGGCAACGCTGCTTGCGCGCTGTTATGTGCGCGCGGCGGAGCGCGTGGCGTGCGTCGTGCTGCGTCAGCATGTGCGTTAGCCTGCGCATTAGCGTGCGCGTTCTTGGCTGCTTGCGCCTGCTCGTGCTCGAATTCTAACAAGATAGCGGTGGCTGCAGCTGCTGCGCTGAACGCCGCGTCGTTGAACGGGAATGTGCTGTTAATAAGATTGTTGCTGCACGCGCTACCGGCTAAGTTAAGGTAATTTTGTTACAACTTTCGTCTTCCTTATGTTAGTGTTAACTCGGTTGACTACGGAAATGAGGAAGATCGATGTTTAGATAGGCCCTTTCCACTCGGTAGACCAAAGATCAGGTAAAGGTTGCGGGAAGCACCTCCATATAAAGGCTTTGAGTCGATCGTCGTGAGAAGATGCTTCCAGCAGTAGACGACTAATGATCAATGGACTCTCAAAGTCAACACAGATTTTAGTTTTCCAATGTCAATGTCATTTTCGTTGATCGATTGGTAGCGGCCTGCGTCCAGCGCTTCCCTGCTACCTTTACGATGTCGTCGGTCCACCTTGTAGGTGGACGTCCCACGCTGCGTTTTCCGGTACGCGGCCTCCATTCCAAAACTTTGCTGCCCCATCGGCATCAACGTGGAAAGCATTAGGGGAGGCCTATGTTCAGCAGCGGACGTCCTATGGCTGAAATGATGATGATGATGTCAATGTCGATATTGATCGTTTTTATACTTAACAGTTGGCACCCCTGGCGATTGACAGGACCTTACTCTACAGTGGCACCATCTTGATGAGTGCAAATGCGATAGTCTTCCTACCACTTTAGCGCTCACAAGTTGGCGCCACTGTCTTCGCGACTAGCAAGTGACAGGACCTTACTCTACAGTGGCACCATCTTGATGAGTGCAAATGCGATAGTCTTCCTACCACTTTAGCGCTCACAAGTTGGCGCCACTGTCTTCGCTGCTAGCAAGTGACAGGACCTTACTCTACAGTGGCGCCAACTGGTGAGCGCTAAAACGATAGCCCTCATTATTTATATTTCGTTCCAGTGGGCTCGGCGTATGCTGGGGCGCGTGGTGGGGGCGCGCGGGGGGCGTGGCCTCCAACCTGGCGGTGGGCGTGCTGCTGGACTTCTCGTGCCCGGCGCCCTTCATCGCCGTGGCTGCTTTACTTACAGGTAAGTTATACCACAGAATAATANCGTATTCTGTCAGAATACAGCACTTTTATTTTTTGGCCGGCACTTTTGATTTTGCGGTAATTAATTAAGATAATTAAAAATTAAATACTTATAATAAGTGCAATCACGGAAATTAAAGGCTTATTTTTGTTTTAAATGCTAAATATTTCGTCGAACGGATTGTTATGTCAAATTCTACTGAACTAATTGTATTATTTACTGCTTTAATGCGAAATCAAACATTACAATAGTTTGGTTAACATATTTTAAATAGATTCGGCGTATCGTTGTTACGTATAAGGAAAATACAACTGTTTCAAATATTTGTACATAAGAGTATTTACTAAAGGTTATTACGACTCACACTTTAAGCTGTGCGATAACCACAACAATGCAAAATCAATCGCAAGTAAACATCACATTACACACTCGATAAACAACTTCATAAAAATAGAAAAAGAGAAAAGAAAAATACACAAGCAGAAAGTTTTCAAAACTAAGGCAGTAGGTAATTTAATTTCTTATTTTCTTCGTTCCGAAATAGATGGCAAGCTTAGTTTTCTTATTTAACTGTAAGTGCAATTGGAAAAATGAACGTTCACCTGTTAAAATTACAACAAGAAGCTAGCAAGAAAATAGCAGAACGTACTAGACATTTTTTGGATAAGTCTAATAAAAATAAAACGTAACATTACCTTTCCCAGTACGATCTAATTGGGAGGTGTCAGATACTGTAAAAGGCGAAAAATATTTAGCGGTTATTTCGTACATCTACGAATTTTCGGACTGATGTCACCGTGCTGTTGGTAAATATCTATTGGATTACGATCGGAAAATTAACGCTCTTAAAGACGAAGCACACTTGTCAACCCGAAAACGGATGGTAACCGTATCAACTCGAGGCAATCAGTATTCTTTATATGAAACTCCATACTGCACCGCACACTTAGGTACCCGTAACGTAAACGCCTCTCCTCGCGGCGAAAGACGATACGGCGTTGATCCCCTTCCGTGTTAATAAGTGTGCCCTTTAAGGCGCGCGCGCACGGGTGATTTTTGTCACCGAGACAGTATGTGTCTCCATAGCTGACATATTTCAGTGCTGGGAAGTGACATAAATGTTCATCCAAGAAAGTGTTTGATAGCAACGATCTTTTAAGTCTTTAAAGAATGAGAACTCAACTAACCTTCTTCTCCCAGGTGGAGTGGCCAGTGCGTTCTTCTGGGGTATTGTGGGTGATGTGTTCGGGAGACGGAACATCCTCAGCATGACGCTGCTCCTCAACGCAGCCCTGACCCTCGGTCAGAGTATGGTGGCGGATTACCGGCTTCTACTGGCTGCGAGGTCCATCAATGGCTTCCTCATCGGTAAGACTTTTAGTTGGTCTGGACCTGATTGGAACGCTGGATACCTTAATTTAGCTTTCTTAAAATCTGTAAACTTAAACTCGTTTTATTTATTTATTTTATTTTTCTTTATTAAGGAAACAAACAGCATGAGTTTATACATGTGAACTTAAAAAATAAAAACATTTTGTCCCCTTAATGGTCATTACATATGTAAATGGAATACGTCAAAGCAAGATTTAAGTCCTGGGTTCAATTCCCAGGTAAGATTTTCGCAAGCACCCATTATTGCAGTCTTAAAAAGAAACGACTTTTACACCTGGACTGTCACAGTACTAGTTTGCGACTTTTGGAGACCTGGATTGTCTATAACTACTTGATTTCGCGCTCCAGAGGACTCTCCGAGACGCGGTCGGTACGATTGAGTCAGTCAGACTTCTACGATAAAGTCTGGCACCAGGGTTGTTGTAACCTCATTTATATCTGACGAGTTAGAATGAAAACTAAACAGCTCATTTAACTCTTGTCTATCGTCTCACCAAACAATCTTGATCCGCAGGTGGTCCCTCGACGCTCGTGTTCACGTATCTGTCGGACCTGGTAGGCGCCAAAAAGAGGCAGTTCTACCTGAACATCACCGGCATGAGCTTCGTTGCTGCCTGGCTCATATTACCAGGTAAACACCTATGTAATATCTTGATTGGGCAATTTGATCGTCAGTACGATCATGCCCAGTAGCAGCTATAGATTTTTGTTTTAAAATCGCAATTATTAAGACATGTATGTACAATCGTACATACATTACCTTAAATCTATATCTATAAAAGCGAAAGATTACTGACTCACTTACTCACTCATCACAAAATCTCAGAAACTACAATTGCAATTAAGAGTTTCAAATTTTTCATGGGAGTTCCTCACTAAGACGACATTTTACAAAATCCAACCCCTAAGGGGGTAAAACGGGATCCATGGCCGCTAGAATTGAATATTGATTAATTATAAAGCTAAATTCACAACAACTTACCACCATCCTCTATTTTGAAATTACTTTCTCTCAGTGCTAGGTTCAAATTCAAGATTCAAATCGCGCTCAAGGTCGTAATTAATTCTTATCCCCAACTTATAAAATATTATATTTGTATAATTTTATTTACCTATTGCTGCCTATACTATAGCGACGACTAACTTTTACATTGACCTGACCCGGAACCGAACCTAAATACTACTCCTTCGCTATATCCTTGACCTCTGAACCGACCCCATTTTTTATGATCCATCATTAAATTAATACAATCTGTTAGTATCAATTAGTACCGTTAAATGTTAAGACTATTACAATGTACTCGTTTAGCAGATGACAGGCTCATGTAGACTGCGATGCAAAACAAATAGGCACAAAAAGTGACCTACTGACCTCCCATCATACACTGACAGCTAAAGCATTTGTTTCATTACTTTCTTATTATGCCTAGGCGCAGACCACCGATTTTTTGTCGGGCGATAGTTAAGTCGGGCAGTTAATCAGTATGGGCAATGGGCATGTATGGAAGTGCGCAAATTACACCAATTAAAATCGGGCGCAACTATCGGCCAACTAAAAGTCGGTGGTCTGTGCCTAGTCTAAGCCTCAGTAGGTACCCCAGTGGTTAGAGATCCTTCCTGCTCAGCGTTTCTGGGTTCGATTCCCATGAGGAACGTTGGAAGTGATTGTGCGAAAAGATGACTTCGGAGGATAGGTTATTTTTTTTTAAAGCTAATTTATGTTTAGCCCTACCTAAGATGAACTGGCAGAGAAGATTATTAAATTATTAAGATTTAAGTTCATTGGGCGCTTCATTGGGCGAAACTAAATAAACAAAATCTTTATACCTTTTATAAGAATCAGAAAGACGGATTTTAATAAGACAAGTAACTTTAGTATAGGTACAAGTGGAAATACTGAAATTGAAAAGAAAATTCTATTGTTATTAATACAACAAAACTGTGCGCTGTGTGAAACAAAAATATACCTACATTGGTTTGTGATACCTAAACCATTGAACGTAATTGTTGTCATGTTAAGTGATGGGTGACCACTCTTTTTATACAGTATTAGACGATAAAACGTTTCCAATTCATGAGATCCTAACATGGTCGATTGAAGTGGCCTTTGTGGCATTATGCCGAAAATGAGCAGGATTTAGCAGATCTTTTCGATAACCGTTGATTAGATTTTTTCCATATGCACTAAATTAGTGTAATGTCTTTCGTAATACACACTTGTAACTTAGTAATAGATCTATTTGACAATTTTTTTTTATCACTAAGGGTTGACAGAAGGGTCTATTCCACTTTGATCACCTGGGTGATTAAAGCCAGGTGATCATAGTGGAGCGACAATTTAGTGTCCGTTGATCACCCATGGATAAGATGACCTGGGTGATCAAAGTGGACTCCAGTTTAATTATTATTTTAGTTTCCTTTAATCACCTATAAATAAATAACACCTCTAAAACTCAACTTTTATAGACTAAGCGAATTGAGCAAGGAACCAGTGATTTACAGTATCTTCTTTCAGCGGTAGCTTGGCTGGTCATCCCGTTCAAAGTGGCGGACTACCACACGCTGCTGCCGGTGTACTCCTGGAGGCTGTACCTGGCTCTCGGCAGCCTGCCCGGCTTCGTCAGCGGTCTCTGGATGCTGGCGCTACCGGAGAGCCCCAGACTGTTGTCAGACACCAACAGGAGTGATAAAGCCTTGAAGATTTTGGCGAAGATCCACAAGAATAATCATGGAAAAGGTGCCGAGTTTAAGGTAGAGTAGACTGAGGCCAGCAAATTATTTATTTGTACTATCGCCAACAGTGTTAACTGCCCATTGAAAGTCATGCCATCTCGTTCTATCGCAAAGAATCGCCATTTGATTAGAGCGAGAGCAAAAACGAAAATGGATAGTTAACAGTGTGGGCGTGTGTACATGAGACCAAGATGACTCATATTATAACGTGCAGTAATAAGACTTGGGAAGAAGGGGATCCTTGAGGTAGCTAGTCCTCTTTTCATGAATATTACGGCTCTTGATTTTTATCGATAAGATACTAAGAGTCAGCCACGAAACTGTCTGTCCGATTGCCATAATAATATAGGCACAAACGACCCCAGGATATCTGAATCTGAGCAAAGTTCTCAGCTACATTTTAAATGATAAGCCATTGCTTAAAGTATTTATGATTTACAGATAAAGAAACTCATCCAAGACAACATATTCGTCGAGAAGACTTTGGGCGAAGAAGAGAACAGAACGAAGGCTTTATTCATGGGGGTGCTGAAAGACCTGAAGATGTTCGTGTCCAAAACCTACGCGTTCAAGTCCAGCCTCATCTTGTTTGTGTTCTTTGCGAATATGGCCGCGTGAGTTTTTTTTTACATTATTCTTCTTGGAATAGTACCTAACTCTAGGTTACTTCTGAATCTTATGGTTTTATTATTTTTCTATCTATCTTCTGATTCTCGGTGTGTATTTTGTAACTTCAAATAATACCAGCAGCTTTCAAGGGTATGTCCGAAAATCCTATAATCTTCCCTCATAGATCATTGTTTATCCTTCTAGTGGTTTCGGCCTAAATCTCTGGATCCCTGAACTGCTCCTACGCATGCAAAGTAAGGAGTGCAAGTACGCCAAGCTGGACGCTTTACCAGAGAATGCGCGGCTGGTGAACGCCACCGCTGCGGTCCTGAAGGAGCTGACCATGCCCAAGGCTGAGACGGTGGGAGGCTTTAACGGGAGCATGTTCGATCCTCTGGACGTCAGGAGTGGAGGGGAGAAGTGCAGCAGCGATATGGATGATGACGTAAGTATATAATGATGATGAAGTAAGTAAGTGATAGGAGCGATGGGATTTCATCGCTATCATCAGGTCAATTAGCCTCCATTGCTGGAGAACGACCCTCTAAAGGATTCCTATACTTTTCATGATGGCCAGATGGAAGGCTAGATGTTCGCATATTTATGTAATTTTCGAATCATAAAACATCTACTGAAGTGTGGGGATAAGCCTTACTGGCGTCGATCTAATTCAATGGCAATAGTATCACGTAAATGGAGAATTTATTAGTTTGACCAATTAGCTAGAAACATTGTCTAGTACCCATAGTACAAGTTTAGCTTAGTTTGGGACTAGAAGCGCAGTGAAAAATGTCCAAGGATATTCAAGGATATTGCATTAATGTTTGTGTTTGGCTTTGTCCAGTCCAACCACCACATTTTGTTCTGGTCTTCTGGTATTCATATTCTTGATAGCTTGTTTTGCACATAATTATTAATTAGAAAATTTAATACAGAATTTTTGTTATTCCAGGTGTTCACCTCAGGCTTGATAGTGGGCGCGTGCTGCGTGCTAGGCAACGCTGCTTGCGCGCTGTTATGCGCACGCGGCGGAGCGCGTGGCGTGCGTCGTGCGGCGTCAGCGTGCGCGTTAGCTTGCGCATTAGCGTGCGCGTTCTTGGCCGCGTGCGCCTGCTCGTGCTCGAATTCAAACAAGATAGCGGTGGCTGCGGCCGCTGCGTTGAACGCCGCGTCGTTGAACGGGAATGTGCTGTTAATAAGATTGTTGCTGCACGCGCTACCGGCTAAGTTAAGGTAATTTTGTTACAACCTTCGTCTTCCTTATGTTAGTGTTAACTCGGTTGACTACGGAAATGAGGAAGATCGATGTTTAA